AGGAGAATCGCTTGAACCCAGGGGGCAGAGGTTGCAGTGAGCCAAGATTGCACCACTGAATTCCAGCCTGGGCAACAAGACTAAAACTCCATCTAAAAAGAAAAAAGAAAGAAAAATTTAGTCCACTGGTTCCATAAGATTACATAACAGGGAAAAGGAAAATCTGAAAATCTCTTCCACAAATACTGGCTAAAAAGCATTAGCCCACATATTGAACAGCTAACCTTAACTTGTTCCATGTGTCAGAAACACAATTCAGATAAAAATATAAAGTGGAGCGAAGATGAGAATATAATACGATTTTACTGATTCCTGGCTAATGTTTTAGAACGAAAGTTATAAGATCTCTGGGTCTGTCTGCCTGTGTATGTCTTATATATGTATGTTATGTATATGTGATATTTTCTTACCTCGAGATGGTATTGATTATTTATTTATTTAAAAATTTTAGTTCTTTAGAGACAAGGTCTCATTCTTGCCCAGGTTGGAATGCAGTAGTACATAGCTCACTGTGGCCTTGAACTCCTGGGCTTAAATGATTCTCCTGCCTCAGCTGCTTGAATAGCTGGGTCTACAGGTACACATCATTGCACTGGGATACATTTTGTCAGAGACTGGGTCTTGCTATGTTGCCCAGGCTGGCCTCACACTCCTGCCCTCAAGCGATTCTCCTGCCTCAGCCTCCTGAGTAGCTGGAATTACAGGTGAGAGCCAGAGAGCTCGGCCAAATTAATTTACAAACCCCTTAAAGGAGTTTATTCAAATTGTTTGAAGAGAAAAATTAGTGTTTATATAAGTGAAATGTTCCTAACAACCCCAGAAATACAGGAACTAACCAAAAGGCCTTTCGAGTTCATGTGACTTGGGATAAAATTTCGATAACTACGATGAATTTAATATTGTTGGTTTAAGAAAAAGAGGTGCATCTCTGAGCACATGTTTTTATTCTACTTGGCTTTACTAGTCAAGTAAGTTACTATTATATTTTAACACTATAAAAACTATAAATTCAACTTAAGAATCAGCAAATAAACATATAGTAAAAATGGTTGTCTGATATGCACTATTTTGTATACATTAAACACAGCGGGAAAACAAAACAAACATATGTATTTAACTTTTCTGATTTTCTTGATTTGCTTTTAATTGCCTTTTACTTGCATGTGCTATAAAAATAATTAACAAGGAAATAACTTGAGATGATGGCTAGTTTTGTTCAATGCATGATGAAATTTTCACGAACAATCCAAACTTAACAAATACTATATGTGTAGGTCAATGTAAGTGGAATAAGAGTTTTATAAATAGGCTTTTCCATAGTTGTTTTATAATATCTGCCTAAAAACAATTTCCAAAATCTTCTTGGTAACTTGCAACCTAATAGACATGCTAAGTTAATAGTCACTTACAGTTTCTAAGTAAGATAAACTACTGAAACACTCATTATCAAATGTAAGTTTAAATTTATATACTTTTGGGTCTTTAATTTTATACAGAATAGAAAGACTAAATATATTTGGATCTGTTAAACACTGAAAAATTGTACATGAGGAATCATGTATCTATAGAGTTGTGAGATGATGTATTCATAACATTTGCTAATCTGTAACAGAATGCTAGTATGTAGCAGACAATTCACAACTATCTACTTTTTATTTTACTCTTTTAAAAGGTTACAAATGGTTAAAATTATAATCACTATATCTAATTAAAACTACTAGAGAAAGGCGGGTGTGGAGACTCACACCTGTAATCCCAGCAGTTTGGGAGGCTGAGGCTGATCACCTAAGGTCAGGAGTTTGAGACCAGCCTGGCCAATATGGTGAAACCCCATCTCTGCTAAGAAAAAAAATATATAAAAATTAGCTCGGTGTGGTGGTGTGTACCTGTAATCCCAGCTATTCTTCAGGAGGCTGAGGCATGAGACTTGCTTGAACCTGAGAGTTAGAGGTTGCAATGAGCTGAGATCATGCCACTGTACTCCAGCCTGGGTGACAGAGCAAGACTCTGTCTGGAAAAAAAAAAAGAAAGAAAAGAAAGTGCTCACTGCAACCTTCAACTCCTGGGTTCAAGCCGTTCTCCTGCCTCAGCCTCCTCAGTAGCTCTAACTGACTTCCAGATATCATGATTTCCAGACATATTATAAGTTATAATAATCAAAGACCAAGTGGTATTGACAATGTGACTTAAAATATATCCAAGGAAAAAACAGATTGTCCAAAAATAGACTGACATAAATTTGATCAATTTTCTCTATGATCATCAGAGTAATCTGGTCAACAAATACCGATGGAACAAATGGATAACCATATAGAAGAACAGATTCTCGAACTCTACCCCATGTCATAAACAAAACTTAACATGAGATGGACCACAGAACTAATCATAAAAGCAAAATATACACAGAAAATACAGAGAGCTATCCTCATCATACCTAGAAAAGAGAACCATCCTCACTATATCTAGAAAAGACAAATATTTGTTTAAGAGATCAAATAATTAATTATAAAAGAAACAGGGATTCTCTGGACTTCTGTTCCAGTTATATTAAAAACTTCTGTTCATCAAAAGACATCATTAAAATGAATATGCAAGCCATAGACTAGGAAAAATATTTGTAATACAAACATTGAACAAAAGATTTCTATCCAAAATATGAAAGAATTCCTACTACTCAGGGAAAAATAAATAATACCTAAATAAAGAATGGATAAAACATTGGAACAGGGCTGAGCACAGTGGCTCACACCTGTAATCCCTGCACTTTGGGAGGCCAAGGCAGGCGATTGCAAGGTCAGCCTGGCTAATGTGGTGAAACCTTGTCTCTACAAAAATACAAAAACATTAGCCAGGTGTGTTGGTACATGCCTGTAATCCCAGCTACTCAGGAGGCTAAGGCAGGAGAATTGCTTGAACCTGGGTGGCAGAGGTTGCAGTGAGCCGAGATTGCACCATTGTACTTCCAGCCTGGGTGATAGAGTGAGACTCTATCTCAAAACAAATAAACAAACAAATAACAACAACAAAACACTTGAACAGGTGCCTCTGATATAAAAAGCACTTGAGAAAGTCTTCAACATTATTAGCCATAAGATAAATCTAAATTAAAACTGCGAAGATATACAACCAGAATGGCCAAAACGACCAGAATGTGCAAAATGAACATAAAATGTAGAAAACAATGTGGAGCAATGAAAATTCTCATACAGTACTGATGAAAGTCTAAAATGGTATAGTAGTTTTAGCTATTAAACTACTAAACTAAAATGGTAGTTTCTAAAAGAGTCAAATATGCGCCGGGCGCGGTGGCTCAAGCCTGTAATCCCAGCACTTTGGGAGGCGAAGGCGGGTGGATCATGAGAGATCGAGACCATCCTGGTCAACATGGTGAAACCCCGTCTCTACTAAAAATACAAAAAATTAGCTGGGCACGGTGGCTCGTGCCTGTAATCCCAGCTACTCAGGAGGCTGAGGCAGGAGAATTGCCTGAACCCAGGAGGCGGAGGTTGCGGTGAGCCGAGATCGCGCCATTGCACTCCAGCCTGGGTAACAAGAGCAAAACTCTGTCTCAAAAAAAAAAAAAGAGTCAAATATGCATCTGCCTTATGAATCAGCAGTATCACTGCTAGGTATTTACTGAAGAAAAATAAACATGTATGTCTACAAAAATATTTTTACAAGAATGATTATAGCAGCTTTGTTCATAATAGCTCTAAACTAGAAACATCCCAAAATGTCTTTCAACAGGAGATGCATAAACTGGTAATTCATATAATGGAAAACTATTCCACAGTTAACAACTACTTATGCATGCAGAAAAATATCTAAATCTCTCAGACATGAAGCTGAGTGAAAGAAAGCAGACATGAAAAAGGTTTATAAGAGAAAATGAATCTATGTTGATAGACATCACAACTGTGATTGTCCTAATGGGAAAGACTGATTTGGAAGAGGCCTGATGGAACTTAATGGGTTAATGAAATTGTCTTTTATCTTGATTGGAGTGTGAGATACCTGGGTTTATACTTCCATCAGAACTCAAAGAACTTCACACTTTAGATCTATATGTACATTATACCTATAAAACATGGACTAGATTCTTGGTAAGGTAATAGCAGCCAATATTTCCATAAACACAGGCAAACGAGGAAAAGATTTGCATGGGGAGAGATATTCATACCTAAAATTTACATTTTAGAGGCATAAAGGTCAGCCATGTATAGGCACTTTACAGATCTCAGGTCTTTAAAAATAGATCACTAACAGGATGGCTACTATAAAAATATAGAAAATAACAAGTGCTGGTGAAGAAATTGCAACCATGAGGCAGCTGCTATATAAACAGTATGGTGATTCCTTAAGTATTAATCGCAGAATTGCCATATTGTCCAGTAATTCCACTTCTGAGAATATACCCCAAAGACCTGAAAGCAGGGAGTAAAACTGATATTTGTACACCCACATTCATAGCAGCATTAGTCACAATAGCCAAAAGATGAAAGAAACCCGACTGACCACTGATAGATGAATGAATAAGCAAAATGTGGTATATACATACAACAGAATATTAATCAGCATTAAAAAGGAAGGAAGTAGATGAACCTGGAGGACATTATGTTAAGTAAAATAAGGCAGTCACAAAAGGATAAATACTATGTGATTCCACTTATAAGAGGTACCTAGAGTAGCCAAATTTACAGAGACAGAAAGTGCAATGGTGGTTGGCAGGGCTAGAGAGCAGGGGTAAAGGGAAGTTATTTTTAATGGGTACAGAGCTTCCGTTCTGCAAGATGAAGAGCTCTGGAGATGGATGATGGTGATGGTTACACAACAATGTGAATGTACTTGATGCCACTGAACTATATGCTTAAAAAGTTTAAGATAGTATATTTGATATTATGTGTATTTTACCCACAATAACAAAAATAGATTCCCTAAAACATTCAAAGGCATGAACTACTTAAAATTTAATGTTCACTAGACTTCATTTATAGACTCACCTAGGTAGCTGTAACTTGGAAAAATTCTCTGTGTCCACAGCTCCTCTCCTTGTTCCAACTTGCGGATCATATCAGGCTTAGCCATGTGAAACCCTGATGATGAAAAATGAGACTTGGTCTAAAGCTTTTTGACTTTTAAACTTTTGAAGATAAAGATACAACTTCAAGGTAGTAGATGAGGTATACATTAATGTCTTACTAATACCTTACAAGTATGGTATTATCAAGTGATGATATAATCATATTTTCTTTTCTTTTTTTTTTTTTGAGACGGAGTTTTGCTCGTTACCCAGGCTGGAGTGCAATGGCACGATCTCGGCTTACCGCAACCTTTGCCTCCTGGGTTCAAGCAATTCTCCTGCCTCAGCCTCCCAAGTAGCTGGGACTACAGGTGTGCGCCACCATGCCCAGCTAATTTTTTGTATTTTTAGTAGAGAAGTAGAGACGGGTTTCACTAATGATGACCAGGATGGTCTTGATCTCTTGATCTTGTGATCCACCCACCTCGGCCTCCCAAAGTGCTGGGATTATAGGGGTGAGCCACTGTGCCAGGCCTTTTTTTTTTTTTTGAGATAGTCTCACTCTGTCATCCAGGCTGGAGTGCAATGGTGCAGTCTCAGCTCACTGCAACCTCTGTCTCCCAGGTTCAAATGATTGTCATGCTTCAGCCTCTTGAGTAGCTGGGATTACAGGCATGTGCCACCACATCCAGATATTTTTTGTACTTTTTAGTAGAGATGGAGTTTCACCATGTTGAACAGGCTGGTCTCAAACTCCTGGCCTCAAGTGATCCACCCGCCTCGGCCTCCCAGATTGATAGGTTTACAGGTGTGAACCACTGAGTCCAGTGATATAATCATATTTTCTGCTAAAAAAAAATGGATTCATCACCTCTAATCCCTGAAATTGAAAGTTCTATATGTTTCAGGAATTCATGGAAGGAGATGCATGACACTGAAAGATTCAAGGAGTGTTTCTTACCCACAGATATGAAGTGGCAATAATTTTCCAACATCACATCCCTGTAGAGGGCCTTCTGAGCAGGGTCTAGTTGTTGCCACTCCTCCTGGGTGAAGTCCACAGTCACATCCTTGAATGACACTGATCCCTGTAAGGGCATACTCTAGTTCATCCTGAAGTGATCGGAAATGGGTGAGAACTAGATGTTGGAGACCTAGTTCTGACAATGTTTACTGGTCAGACTAGTTTCCTAATTTATGTTTTATATTGTATAAAATTCTCTCTGAAAATCTATCCATCTGTATTTACTCATAATCTCATACTAAACATACTGAGATCACACTATTTGTCCTGAATGTGACTGGTTGCCTGATAGACCAAAATGAATAAAACCCTGACCCTGCTCATGAGAAGTTACAGGCTAAGAGAGAGGCATACATGTAAATACATGCACTTAGTAGGTTTTATAGATGCAATGACAGAAATACGTACAAGGTAAAGGATCACAAAGCAAAGAAAAATTTCATTTTGTACTCTGAGGCTTCATTGAGGACATAAAAGTTTTGTACTCACAATGAATTTGTTTTGTAGGAATACAGGGCATCAGCTTTTAAAAATTCATAGGGAGAAAAAAACCAGTTAGTAAATCAGGAAATAGCAAAAGGTACAGTATGTTAGGAAACAGTCTTTGAGTTCTAAGAAGGAAAAGATATATGGAAGTAGGCAGTGGGCATATTATGACATCATACTAGATTTTTTTTCCTACAGAGTAGTGGTCTTAAAGATGTACTGAACATATTCCCAACATTGTAGCTATTTATAAACCATCAGTAGTCATTTAGGAAAATCTACATTGTTAATGATTACTGCTCTTGAATGAATGTAAACTGTTAGTATTTTATTTCCTTCCAGTATCTATCTTGTACATTCTACTGTGATGCATGCCCTACTTTGAGTCTGTTGCTTTAAGGAGTATAAAGAACATGAATAAACAAGTTGACATACATGTTATGTGATAAAAGTTTTGAGGCAATGCTCCTGAAGACTGGGGAAGGCTTAATGTATGTTAGGTGGGAATGACAATTAAGTAACCATGGTTAGAGATGTCTCCTAGATTTAGGTAGTATCAGCAGGCTGACAGATGATAACGGCTCCTACACTACCACCATAACAACAGAGATGGTCGTAAATTGGCTGTAGAGTGGAAAAGATACAGGCATGTTATTTGCATAGGCAAATGCATGGCTGCTGGGACTATAAAGTGAAAATGGGAAACAGAAGAAAATGTAGGCTGTACCAAAGGAAGTAATGAGGTAAACCTTGGAAATGTACTATTAATTGTCTGTGGAACATACAGGTGGTGATAGCTTTTAGAGGTTGGATATCGGTTCTGACACTCTGTACAGAGGTCTAGAATGGAGAGGGGTATTTGAGAGTCACTAGAATCAGACTAAGTGTGGCCTTCAGAGTGAATCTGATTGTGCATAGAGAAAAAGAGACTGTGAAGAGAAGAGAACCAATTAGCATCTGGGGAAAACCAGTACTTTAAAAGTTGGTAGATGAGGTAATGAGGAATTTTCTTTTTTTTTTTTTGAGATGAAGTTTCACTCTTGTTGCCCAGGCTGGAGTGCAATGGCACAATCTCGGCTCACCGCAATCTCCACCTCCTAGGTTCAAGCGATTCACCTGCCTCAGCCTCCCGAGTAGCTGGGATTATAGGCATGTGCCACCACCCCTGGCTAATTTTGTATTTTTAATAGAGACGGGGTTTCTCCATGTTGGTCGGGCCAGTCTCGAACTCCCGACCTCAGGTGATCCGGCCCGCCTCGGCCTCCCAAAGTGCTGGGATTACAGGCGTGAGCCACCACGCCCGGCTAAAGAGGAATTTTCTGAAAGATATGAAAAAAGGGCAAAGTACCGTTTGATCAACAAGAGAGTTTTCCAAGAGTGGCCTGCCGTATGCATTTCCTTCTCCTGCACCAGCATATAAAATTAGAAAAAACTAAAAAGAAAATAACAAATCTCTAACAGCATTGGAATACTGGAAAGGTTTTCACTGGCGGCCACAATTTGGAAGAACGGCTGGCAGACATTAATAAAACCGGAAGATCAGAGAGGAGGAACACAAAACCTGTTTCCTTTACAAGCTTGTCATCAAATTGCTATCCTAAACACCTCATAAAACAGGACATCTTTCCACAAACTAATGCTAAGATCTGTCACTTCTATCTCCCATCATATCATTGCAAAACTTAGGTTAGCAGAGAAAATCAAAGTTTTTTTTCCATGTCTGCTCTTTGACTACTTACAACTTAGATCTCAAATCAGCATCAGGACAAGTTAAATTCATTCAAGCCAGATATTCCCATTTAAATCAAGATAATACCTTTCTGCTCCAGCAGTTTGTTTGTGAGAAGACTGAGAAGGGAGATGATGAATGATGTACCCAATGAATATGTACAACTAGAAGGTGCACTTGGGGAAGGCTTACGATGATCTGGTTGGAATGGAGAAATTTTGAACAGGGCTGGGAATAGGGTGAGGCAGGTAAGGCACCTAGAAATGAAAATTTAGGAAGGCACAGACCCAAGTGTACCCCTTAAATATTTCACCTCATGCCACTTGCCAGCCTCATCCTAATCTGGGCCCTGACTGAAGACTAGTTTCATGGAAGCAAATCCCAATATCCAGGAATGTTAAAGGATAGGGAAGCTCATGTTCATATACCATGAAAAAAAAAAGTTATTTCAGAAAGAGGAAACATCATCTCACCTGAGACATGGCTTTGAGATTTCTAAGAGATGAACCTTCTCTTTTGAGCTCTTCTTTTAGAAAAAGGAATAGTTCTGAGAAAGCAAAGACGGAGGATACAAGAATGTGAGACCATACTTGACCTAGAACTCCCAGAATAACTCAGTTAAATCTGCATGAATGTTCACTATATTAGGACTTTTCCACCCTGTATACCCTTTAGATGTCCAGGATGGTGGTTAGTGGGAAAACGGACAAATCCTGCTCCTTCACAAACACCAGAAACCTAGTCTCTTGGTAAGGCAGATAGGCTTCCGGGGAACCTTATGTTATAGCTTCAAGACAGGGAACGTCACGTTTTTCCTCTGCAGCTCTGCCTTCTATCTCCCATTAAACACAGGTTTACAGTATATTTCCAAATGGTTCTTTATGGACTTTTTGCCAATTTACACTGCTAGCAGTGCATAAGAATATCTTCCCAACCCCTGATAAAGACAGTTGACAATTTTTAAATCTTTGCCTATCTTTTTTTTAGACAGAGTCTGGCTCTGTTGCCCAGGCTGGAGTGCAGTGGCACGATCTTGGCTGACTGCAACCTCCACCCCCCAGGTTCAAGTGATTCTCCTGCCTCAGATTCCCGAGTAGCTGGGATTACAGGTGCCTGCCACCACGCCCAACTAATTTTTGTATTTTTAGTAGAGACGGCATTTCACCATGTTGGCCAGGCCGGTCTGGAACTCCTGACCTCAAGTGATCCGCCTGCCTCAGCCTCCCAATGTGCTGGGATTGCAGGCTGAAAATAAGCTTCTTTTTAATAAGTTTAAAGACATTCTTTTCTGCAACAGCATCTCCTTACAGTGTGCTCATTTTTCTCTTGGCTTTTTATTTCCTAATTAGCTGATATTATCTTCTGGGTTTATTTTTAATGTAACAAATTAACCCTTTATCTATTTTAGGTTGAAAATAACTTTTCTTTTTCATATGACTATTAAAGGGTCTTTGCCTTGCAAAGATATTTTTCCCCTATGTTTTGTGGTTTAGCAATACCACATATTGCATAATCCACATTTCCTCAATTGATGTGAAATACCATCTTTATCATATATAGTATATTCCCTTTATACTTGATGGTTTCTGCCCTTTCTATTTAATTTCTCTACTTCATCTCCTTATTGAGTCACCTGTATCAAACCACTGAAGTAGTATAGTTGTATAGTCTAGTTGAAAAGTGTTTTGTTTTTTTTTTTGAGACAGAGTCTCACTCTTGTTGCCCAGGCTGGAGTGAAATGGTGCCATCTTAGCTTACTGAAACCTCTGCCTCCCAGGTTCAAGCAATTATCCTGCCTCAGCCTCTCAAGTAGCTCGGCATGTACCACCGTGCCCAGCTAATTTTGTATTTTTAGTAGAGACAAGGTTTCTCCATGTTAGTCAGGCTGGTCTCAAACTCACGACCTCAGGTGATCTGCCTGCCTCAGCCTCCCAAAGGGATGGGATTACAGGGGTAAGCCACCATGCCTGGCCCACAAAAATAACTATTTTAATTATTACAATGATACAGGACTTATTAAAAATATCAAATACTTTTTATTAGCTTAGCATGCCTGAGGGAGTAGGAAACCTCCCTCATATGGAAGTGTTGAAAGTAGTAGGCATGCCAGGCATGGTGGCTCACGCCTGTAATCCGAGCACTTTGGGAGGTCAAGGGGGGTGAATCACTTGAGGTCAGGAATTCGAGACCAGCCTGGGCAACATGGTGAAACCCCATCTCTACTAAAATACAAAAATGAGTCAGGCATGGTGGCAGGCGCCTGTAATCCCATCTACTTGGCAGGCTGAGGCAAAAGAATCGCTTGAACTCTGGAGGCAGAGGTTGCACTGAGCAGAGATCATGCCACTGCACTCCAGCCTGGGTGAAAGCAAGACTGCATCTCAAAACAAACAAACAGCAACAACAACAACAGTGGTAGTTACGGTAAAATTGGTTTTGTTTTCTTAATTTTTTTTCCTGCATGTCCCCAACGGAAGGCTATTCTTTTCAACTTGGTTTTAGTTAATATGATGTTTCCAAGTAATGAATCTTAGCATCTGGGAATTATGAAAATTACCTCTTCCCCTCTGATACTGTTACCTCTATTTCATTTGGTAAATTGCTACTTAGTTACAATTTTGGAGGCAGGCTTAATGGCTACTCTTCAGGTAATCAAATCTTACATAACCAACTAGCCATGGTCATAACAGAGTTCTTCAATCATTCAAATATTTAGGTTACCAAGGACACAAAACCATCAGGTAGGTTACAAACACATGCAGAGTCACAGTCAAACATACTTCAGAGAACCACCAACCTACAGGCCCCACTTGTCCATTCACAACCTCAGACAGCAGCTAACACGATTCTAGGCAGTCACAATCACATCCACAAATCACTTTCAATTCTCCACACGAATAGTCTCAAATGCGACTCACACCTAATCTAAAAATAGACACATGCAGAGGAAACCTTGCGCAGCAACACGACTCCGTCCACTTTTCACACGCAATCGGCCGCAACATCCCAAAAAGAGGCAAGCACCTAAAATGCAGCAGGTTGGGCGCAGGAGGCCACCCCTATTCGGCGCGCGCGCGCGCACATACGCAGCGCCCGCTCCGCGCGGGAACCCGCCGCCAGCGACGGCGCTTCCGCGGGATCAGAATGCGCAAAATCCCCCTTAGCGGAGCTCGCTCCGGGTCACCCTCAAGGTCACGCCCACGGACCACGCCTGAGGCCCGGCTAGTACAGATCGGAGCGTCTGGATACTGCGGACCCGGTTCCCTCCTCAGAATTACCGGGCCCGGCTCGGACTCTTGGTTACCTCCCTGGCCTCCCCACCCGGTTCAGCGTCCTCAGACAGCTCTTCCGGATCGGAGCTCCGAGTGCCCTCCTCGGCCTCCTCAGCACCCCTGGCACCCACCAAGCCTCATCCCCGGCCCAGGGCGAGTCTTCTGCGCCTGCGCACTCGCGCGTGGGCCTGAGCTCCCAGGAGTCTTCGGGGCGGGCAGTTAAGCGCCGAGCGGTGCTTGCCACTGCGCTCCCCTCCGTTTGCACCCACGCCCGCTCTATTCCGGTTGAGACTACATGTCTCCGAGGACCCAGCTCCCTTTTCCGTTGACTTGGTGGTCGCTTTCCATGTGGTGAGTTGAGGTGACCCGGTCTGGATGCGAGAGGAGCTCACGGCAGGGGACCCGGGTTCCTGGGACGCGGATGGGGCCTGTGGAGGCAGAAGCCCCAGGGCTGTGTGCAGGTCACCTGCTGGGGAGGAGTAGTGTGATTGTGTTTGTGTGTGCGGTTCTGTAGCTGCGTTCGTGTGTGGTGTGATTGTGAGTGGGCGCGCCTGTGACGGGGCCGGGGATGTTTGCACACGGGGGAGGCCTTGGACTGTCCCCGATTGGGCCCGCCCGACTGAGTGGGGGCGGGGCTGTTTGTGTGACGGCGCTGAACGGTGACTGTGAATGTGTCATGCTGTGACCAGTGATCCTGTGGCAGCGCTGTTGTGACTCACTGGAGACTGTGATCAAAACTGGCCCGGTGCAGCTTTTGTAGAGTTTGATTGCTGCAGTTCTGGGGCTCAGGAATACGTGGATAAGATCCCCAGGTGTCTTGATCTGTGTCTATGGAAGACTCCGAGACCTTCTGTCTAAAGCATGGCCTCTGTTGCTTTCATAATGTGTAATACACAGTGGCATGCAGCCTCGCCAACCCCTGGTCCAATTTTAAGTTAACGTGGTTTCTTGGAGTTTGTTGTACTGGGATTTCTCTCATTGCCTCAGTCATTTCACCTTATAACCACATTACAGTGTGCAGTCAAATGGCGATCAAAGGGGAAGGTGGATGTTAGATCCAGAATGAAGGTTCGAACTGAAAAAGCACAGCCTTATGTTTCATATGGACGAGGCTGTGTTCTAATATGCACGGCCTTGTGTTTAATATTGAGATGTTAGAGCTGGAATTGCTCCCAAGGCAGGGTTCTGGGAAGATATGATATTGAGGACGGCAAGACTAGGATTTCTTCCTCTGAAGATTCCCGCCCTCCCCCCCCCCCCCCACCCCGGGCTTTTATTTTGAGACAGAGTTTTGCTCTTGTTGCCCAGGCTGGAATGCAATGGTGCGATCTCGGCTAACTGCAACCTGACTCTCAGGTTCAAGTGATTCTCCTGCCTTAGCCTCCCCAGTAGCTGGGATTACAGGTGCCCACCACCATGCCTGGCTAATTTTTTTTTTTTTTTTTTTGTATTTTTAGCAGAGATGGGTTTTTATTATGCTGGCCAGGTTGATCTCGAACTCCTGATCTCAGGTGATCCACTCACCTCTGGCTCCCAAAGTTACAGGGATTTACAGGGGTGAGCCACTGTGCCTGGCCTTTTTTTTTTTTTTTTTTGAGATGGAGTCTTGCTCTGTCACCCAGGCTGGAGTACAGTGGCACTATCTCAGTCTACTGTAATCTTCGCCTCCCAGGTTCAGGTGATTCTCCTGCCTCAGCCTCCAGAATAGCTGGGACTACAGGCACATGCCACCACACCCAGCTAATTTTGGTATTTTTAGTAGAGATGGGGTTTCATTCACCATGTTGGCCAGGCTGGATTCAAACTCCTGACCTTAGGTGATGCACCACCTCGGCCTCCCAAAGTACTGGGATTACAGGCATGAGCCACCATGCCCAGCCAAGGTTTTATCAATGTTGTTGCTTTTTTCAGAGAATTCACATTTAGTTTGGCTAACTATATATATCTTTCATTTATTTTTTTCTCCCATATTATTTCCTTTCTTCTAGGTACTGAGGGTTTACTTTGCTTTTCCTTTTCTAGCCTTTTAATGTAGAACCTGTAGTTATTGATTCTGGACCTTCTCTTCTGGTACAAGCATTTAAATCCGGAATCCCTACTTTAACTCCATTCCACAAATTTTTATGTGTGTGTGTGTGTGTGTGTGTGTGTGTTTTGAGACAGAGTCTTGCTCTGTAGCCAGGCTGGAGTGCAATGGTGCGATCTTGGCTCATTACAACCTCTGTCTCCTGGGTTCAAGCCATTCTCCTGCCTCAGCCTCCCAAGTAGCTCCCAGCTAATTTTTGTATTTTTAGTAGAGACGGGGTTTCACCATATTGGCCAGAATGGTCTTGATCTCTTGACCTTGTGATCCACCCGCCTTGGCCTCCCAAAGTACTGGGATTACAGGCATAAGCCACAGCACCGCCTATTTATTTATTTATTTATTGAGACGGAGTTTCGCCCTTGTTACCCAGGCTGGAGTGCAATGGCGCGATACCGGCTCACCGCAACCTCCGCCTCCTGGGTTCAGGCAATTCTCCTGCCTCAGCCTCCTGAGTAGCTGGGATTACAGGCACGCGCCACCGTGCCCAGCTAATTTTTTTGTATTCTTAGTAGAGACGGGGTTTTACCATGTTGACAAGGATGGTCTTAATCTCTTGACCTCGTGATCCACCCGCCTCGGCCTCCCAAAGTGCTGGGATTACAGGCGTGAGCCACCGCGCCCGGCCCTATTTATTTATTTTTGAGGCAAGGTCTCACTCTGTCACCCAGGTTGGAGTGCAGGGGTGTGATCATGGCTCACTGCAACCTTGACTTCCTGAGCTCACCCTCTCTCACCCTCCTGCACAGATGGGACCACAGGTGCACGCCACCTCATCCTGTTAATTTTTGTGTCTTTTATAGATATGAGGTTTCATGCTATTGAACAGGCTGGTCTGAAACTCCTGAGTTCAAGCGATCCGCCTGCCTTGGCCTCCCAAAGTGCTGGGATTATAGGTATAAGCCACCATGTCCAGCCCCACAAATTTTTATTTGGTCCATTTTCATTATCAGTTAATTCAAACTGTTTTCTTTTCCTTTTGATTTCTTCTTTAACCTATGGATTATGTAATAGTGTGTTTAATTTCCAAACATTCGTGGGTTTTCTAGATACTTCATTGGCAGTGATTCCTAGTTTAATTTCATTTGACCGGAGAACACGTTGTGTACAGTTTTGATCCTTTGAAATTCACTGATACTTTTTTTATGGCCTAATATATGGTCTTGATGAATATACCATGTGTACTTGAAAAGCATATTTTATAGTTGTTGGGTGAATTATTTTGCAAATATTAATTTTACCAAGCTCATTATATCTTCACTGATATTTTTTGTCTTTTTTTTTTTTTTTTGGCCAGTTGCTGAGAGATGGATATTAAAATCAAGGCTGGGACTACAGTGAGGCTGAAGTCACTAAAGTGCTTGGAGTGCAGAACTGAAAGAAGTACTAACTATTAGGGTTGGGTAAGTGCAGTGTTGTTTGAAGCTGTGTGTGTGTGTTTCTGTGAAGACTGGTCTGGAAAACAGACCAGAGGAAAATACTTCCTTGTTTTTCCTCTGCTCTCACATCAAAACAACAAACACAACAAGAGTCAACACCTCAGGAACAGCACTCCTTTCAGACAAGGATGACAGAAGTGTGAGGAGCAAACACACTTAGGGGACAGAGCAGACCAAGTGAATGACAGTTCTCTCTCCCACCAACCTGCAAACATGAGGTGCTTTTACCTTTGAAACAGGACTGTGGTAAGTTCTCCTATGCAAAGCCTGTGAGTGGACTAGGAGGGTAAAATAAAGCTGTGAATAAAGCTTAAGAGATCTCCCTCAGAATTTCATTAAACCACTACTGGAGGCCATATACTAAGCCAGTAATTCCTCAAGGCATGGGACAAGTTAAAAAAGGCATGGTTCACTTTATTGAACCATAATTCACATATAGTTCACCCATTTAAAGTATATAATTTAATGGCTTTCTGTGTATTCACAGAGTTACATGTCCATCACCACAATTTTATTTTGAAACAGAGACTTGCTCTTTCATGCAGGCTGGAGTGCAGTGGCTTGATCTCGGCTCACTACAACCTCCTCCTCCCAGGTTCAAGTGATTCTCCTCCCTAAGCCTCACAAGTAGCTGAAATTATAGGCACATGCCACCACACTTGGCTAATTTTTGTATTTTTAGTAGAGACAGGGTTTACCATGTTGGCCAGTCTGGACTCAAACTCCTGGCCTCAAGCATCACCACAATTTTAGATTATATTTATCTCCCAAAGAATTCCAGCTCCCCTTAGCTATCACTCTCAAACCTCCATGCCCTCCAGCCCTAGGCAACTGTTAATGTGCTTTTTCTTGACAGATTTTCATCTTCTGGACAATTCTTATACATGGAGTCATGCAATATGTAAATCCTTCATGACTAGCTTCTTTAAATTACCGTAACATTTTGAAGGTTCATCCACATAACATGTATCATTATTACTTTCTTTTTATGACTGAATAATATTCCAAGATGTGGTAAGGATATGCCACATCTTGCTTATCCATTCATCAGTTGATGGACACTTAGGTTGTTTCCATTTTTTGGCTATTGTGAATGATGCTGCTGTGAACATTCATGTGCATGTTTTAGTGTGGAAATGTTTTCATTTCTGTCAGGTAGACCTGAGGAACAGAATTGTAGATTATACGGTAACATTATGTTTAACCATTTCAGGAACTGCCAGATTGATTTCCACAGCAACTGCACCATTTTACATTCCCACTCACAGGGTACAAGAGTTTTTATTTCTCAACATCCTTGCCAACACTTTAAAAAAAATTATAGCCATTGTAGTAGGTGTAAAGTATTTATAGTATCTCATTATTGTTTTGCTGTGCATTTCCCTAGTGGCCAAAGAAGGTCAAGGGATTTTTTTTTTTTTTTCCTGAGACGGAGTCTTGCTCTGACGCCCAGGCTGTAGTGCAGTGGCACGATCTTGGCTCACTGCAACCTCTGGCTCTTGGGTTCAAGCTATTCTCCTGCCTAACCTTCCCCCGTAGCTGGGATTACAGGTGTGCGCCACCACGCCTGGCTAATTTTTGTATTTTTAGTAGAGATGAGGTTTCACCATGTTGGCCAGGCTGGTCTCGAACTCCTGACCTCAGATGATCTACCTGCCTCAGCCTCCCAAAGTGTAGGGATTACAGGTGCGAGCCGCTGCGCTAAGCTGGTCATAGGATTTTATTATAACTTTATGCATGATAGGAGTAAACAGAAATTACAAACTCTTTTTTCTTTAAAATAGAAACCTTATACATTTTTATGCCTTTTAAAAAAACAGAGATGAGAGTTTAAGCATTATTCTCAGGGCAGCGAATTATGATACAAACAATAGGATTTACGATTAGTATTGAAATATCAAGTCTTAAAGACACCTTTCCACAAATAATACAAATAAGCAAATTATAGATAGGAAAATAGCTCAGGATGATCAGAGTTATCTCTCTACTGGACAGGAGAGTAACGCTGATATTGACTGAGTGTTCTCAATTCAATACTTTATCATATCAGTTTATTTTATATAGATTTTATGACACAGAGTGGTATCTTTTCCCCTGTAGCTCCATAGGGAGAAGACATCTCCTCCTTGATATTTTTTAAAGATTCCTTTTTACTACTATTAGGTGGGTGTGGATCCTTAGGGCTAAGAACTTTACTTGTTTACATGATGACAAAACAGGACTGAAGAGCTTAAAACATATTAAAAGGAAATGGAAAATGGAGTCAATAATTTTTGAAGTTAAAATGCAATAAAGAGCATATAATGTTTTATAGTCAGGATGGGATTTCATGTTCCATATTGGACACTCCTGTCTTTGCCTGACCTTTCATTGTCACCTCTTCTGCCTCATGATCCACAGTTGGAACCCCTTAAATAATCAATGTGGCATGTAAATCAAGGAACAATACATACTTAGCTTAGAAGATATAAGCATAAATGTTAAGATGCGCTTGGAGATCCATAGTTACTGAGCCAGCTACGGAATGAGCTGTGTGGTGAAGTTAAGCATGGTTAACTATTACATGCAGTCCTGGAGCTGGCCAGAAACCAGAGTTTCTTCAGTACCTTCCATCCCACCAAAATCTAGCCTCTCAATGTTGCCATAGCTGAGGAGTATGGAAAGGAGTTATGAGCTGATCACTTAGGAAAAATTCACAGTAATCTCTTCTCTATGTGTAGTGCCTTACGGTTTACAGAGCAATCTTCCAGCTTTTATTCCAGTTTTGTGAGAAACAGGTAGAAAGACACTAATTTATTAAGTGACTACGCTGCAGATACTAAATATACTTTGTCTCATTTCATAAAGACTTAATCCCTTCATTTATAGATGAGATGGGTACAGCAGGAATGCCTGTCTTCATTTGGTATCAGAAAAGAATGAGGCTCAGTCATGTTAAGGGATATACACAACTAAAAACAGTGCAGGTAGGGATTGTATCTAGGTCTGTCTGAGCACAAAGCTCTGGAACACTGATTGCCCTGCAGCTCGGTTATTCCACATTAAGATGAATCTGGGGCTCTCTGCTGGTCAAGAGGCAGCTTATTTTTATATCAAATTTCCAAAAACTTTCCATTCATCCACGAGTCCCTGTAAACCTTTAAACTGGAAGTAATGGGAGGGCAGGGAGTGGAAACTGACAGGCCTGAGTCTTTAATTCTTTCCTCCATGTTTAGTGTTGGGTTTGTTGTTTCTCCCCACCACAAACTCAGAGAGGCAAGGACCATGTACTTGCAGCAACCTGATTGACTGACTTCATCCTCTCAGAGGTATCACCAGGTCTCCCCTTATCTCAATGACCCATCTCCTTCTCCACTTTCTTCTTAATCAGGCTTATACTTGCTGCTTCTTTTATGATTTGACTTCTATGAGACCAATTAAGTGTTCTTTATCCTCCTTTCCCCTACACTGGATTAAAAATAATATATTGTATTGCTTCACTTTTGGAAGTTACTCTTAACCTTGCATCTTTGACTTATGACTAATTGGTATCTCCTTGAGCAATAAAAAAGACCTTAGAATACTTTAAGTACATTTTTTCTTTTTTTTGAGACGGAGTCTCCTTCTGTCATCCTGCCTGGATTGCAGTAGCGCTATCTCAGCTCACTGCATCCTCAGCTCCTGGGTTCAAGTGATTCTCCTGCCTCAGCCTCCTGAGTAGCTGGGATTCCAAGTGCATACCACTACGCCCGGGTGATTTTTGTATTTTTAGTAGAGATGGGGTTTCACCATGTTAGCCAGGCTTGTCTCCAACTCCTTACCTCAAGTGATCTGCCCATCTCAGCCTCCCAAAGTACTGGGATTACAAGCGTGAGCTACGGCACTCAGACTCTTTCTATTTTTGTCTGGTGCTTTTGATCTAATTTGTTTTGAAATTCCATAAAAAGTAATCATTATTACTTAGTAAATAGAATCTTCAACATACTTACCAATTTCCTTGCTTATCATTTAAGATTTTATCTCATTCTGTCTTTCTGGGTTTAACTTTCTTTTTGCTGATTCACATCCTTTAGAAATTCTTCCAGTGAGTCTATGAAAAAAACTTTATCTTTGTCTGAAAATGTCTTTATTTTGCCCCACTCTTAATTGCTGCTTTTCCTCTGTCACTTTGAAGGTATTATTCTCCTGTCTTCTGGCATCTTGTGCCCAATCATCTTTCCTTTTAGGTAGCATGTCTTTTCTGTTTTTTCTTTCCTTCCTTTCTTTCAAGATTTCTGTTCCGTATTATCACTGTGATCTGTCTAAGTGTTAGATACGCTTTCATTATTCATATTCCTCATCTTTTGTTTTTTAATTTTTATTTTTTGGTACTGTGACTCAGCTTCCTTATCTTAAAATTAACTTTAATTGTGAAAAGTTCTAAACCACTTTTTTCCTGATGCTTCTTCTCCTTTTATGACATTTATTAGATGTGTCTTGGGGGCCCTTTTATTTTCTTCCATGTCTCTTAGTTTCTCATCTGTATCTCACTTTTTATCTCTGTGCTGCATTATAGGTAATTTCTTCAGATAGATCTTTAAGTTCATTAATTTTGAGTTGTGCTTATTATGTTCTCTATAGACTTTTTTTTTATTTCTAGAAATTCTCTGGTTATTTTTTAAATCTACTGATTCTTTTTAAGTATTGTGTTTTCGGTATTAGTTTTTTCCATTTAAAACATTTCATATTCTTTCATATTGTCATATTATATGCAGTTCTTGTAGGTGCCAACTTTGTTATTTATTTACTCTGCGGACCCTCCTGTAATGGTTATTTCCTTGTTTTTTTGTAATTTTTGTTTTTGAGCTTATCTCAGTGGGGAAGAGATAGTATGTTTTGTTTGTTTTGTTGTTAAGGAGATTTCATGTGCCCTGGATTGAGTGCTCAAAACCATGCTACATTTACTTTTGGCTGAGTTGCAGGGGTTTCAGTGGAGCTGAACCTGGTTCTGCATGTAGGAATTTTTACTTATTAAAAATTAAAATTTTAGGCAGGGCATCATGGCACAAACCTGAAATCCCAGCACTTTGGGAGGCAAAGATGGGAGGATTTTGTGAGCCCAGGAGTTCAAGACGAGCCTGCACAACAAAGTGAGACCCTGTCTCTAAAAATTTTTTTTTAATTAGCTGGGCATAGTGGTGCCCACCTGTAGTCCCAGCTACTTGGGAGGCTGAGACAGAAGAATCACTTGATACTAGTAGGTTGAGGCTATAGTGAGTCATGATTATGCCACTGGACTCCAGTCTGGGTGACAGAGCAAGACCCTGTCTCAAAAAAAAAAAATTAGCTACAGAGTTTCTGTTTTTCTTTTTCATCTTGAGTCAAGACTTTTGGGAAGCTGTGCTTTTAAAGGAATGGATGAATTTCATCTAAGATGTCAAATTTACTGGCATAAAATTGTTCATAATATTGCCTTATCATTTTACTTCTGTAGGATCTGTAGTGGCATCTTCATTTTTATTCCTGACATGGGTAATTTGTGTTTTCTCTTTTATTAATTATGCTTACTAGGATTTATCAATTTTTAAAATATCATCAAATAAACAACTTTTTGTTTCGTTCACTTTCTCAATGGTCTGCTTTCTACTTCATCAATTTCTGCCCATCTTACTTTTTTTGGAATTTGGGTTTAGTATGTTTGTTATTCTTTTTCTAATCTCTTTCTTTTTTTTTTTTAAGCAAGAATAATCTTTATTCCTTGGAAACACTCTTTTTCTAATTTCTTTAAGTCTGCCTTCATTTTTAAAAATTGTGGCAAAGTATACATGTAATGTAAAATTCACCATCTTAACTATTTTTGAGTGTACAGCTCAGTAGCATTAAGTATATTCCCATTTTTGTATAACCAACATCTACAACTTTGTCATCCTATAAATGTGAAACTATATCCATCAAACAACAACTACCCTTTTCCCCCTGCCTCCAGCTCCTGGCAACCGCAAGAAACCTGCAAACTCTCTCACTATAACCATTAATAGCCAAAAACTGGGAGACAGTACTACCTTCTGATTTTATGAGTTGGACTACTCTAGATACCTCATATGAGTGGAATCATAAGTAGTTATCTTTTGTGATTGGCTTGTTAGAATGATATCCTCAAGGTTCAGCCACATTGTAGCATATGTCAAAATTACCTTCCAAGGCTGAATAATATTACATTGTATGTATATGCCACATGTATTAAGTCTGTTTTGTGTTGCTATAAAGGAATACCTGAGGCTGGGTAATTTATAAAGAAAAATGGTTTATTTAGCTCATGGTTCTGTAGGCTGTACAAGAAGCATAGTGCCAGTATCTGTTCCTGGTGAAGCCCCAGGAAGCTTACAATTATGGCAGAAGGCAAAGGGAGAGCTAGCATATCACATGGCAAGAGGTAACAAAAGGCAGAGGGAGGAGGTGCCAGCCTCCTTTAAACAACTAGCTATAGGGTGAACTCATATCCATGGGGAGGACACTAAGCCATTCATGAGATCCACTCCTATAATCCAACACCTCCCACTAGGTGCCACCTCCAACATTGGGGGTCACGTGTCCACATGAGATTTTGAGGGAACAAATATCCAAGTCATATTACCACATTTTGTTTATCCATTTGTACATTGATGGACATGTGGGTTGCACCTATTTCTTGGCTATTGTGAATAATGCTGCTATGAATTTCCCCTTTTTTAATTTAAGAACTTAACATCCCTCTCATCTCTGCTTTAGCTGTATCCTTCTCATTTTGATATGTTGTGTTGTCATTTTTTCATAGTTCAAAACATTTCTATGTATTTATTCAATGATCTGTACATTAGAAGTGTGTTATTTTATTTCCATGTATTGAGGGATTATATGGGTTTCTTATTACTGGTTTCTAATTTACATTCCCTGTAACATGGCAATCTTTTGAAGTTTATTGTGACTTATCTTATAGTCCAGTCTATAGTCTATTGTGGGGGCTGTTCATGTACATGAATAGAACGTAATTTTTCAATTTTTGGTATGGTGTCTTTATACAACAGTGAGGTCATGTTGACTGGTGTGGTTGCCATCTTCTATACAGTTGTCCCTTGCTATCCACAGGGTACTGGTTCCAGGACACCTTGTGGATACCAAAACCTGCAGATGCTCAAGTTTGTTACATAAAATGGTGCAGTATTTGCATATAACCTATGCACATTCTTCTGTACACTTTAAATCATCTCTAGATTTTTTAATAAAATATAAATGCTGTGTAAATAATTGTCATACTGTATTTTAAACTTTGTATTATATTTTACTATCATTGTTTTTTCCTGAATATTTGTGCATTGCCATTGGTTGAATCTGCATATATGCAGAGCTCATTATATATACTACTGAATTTGACTACAATGCTATCAATTACTGAAATATAATTGTAGATTTCCAATTATGCTTGTGGATCTATTTCTTTTGTTCTGTTAGTATCTGCTTCATGAAATTTAACACTCTCATTATAGGTTCATACCAGCATACATATTCCTGATGAACACATAGAGTCATGTGCCACATAACAACATTTTAGCCAATGATGGACACATATACAATGGTGGTCCCATAAGATTACAATGGAGCTAAAAAATTCCTGTCACTTATAGACATTGTCATGCAACATATCACTCACGTGTTTGTGGTGATGCTGGTGTAAACCTACTGTGTTTCCAGTTGTATAAAAGTATAGCACATACAATGTGTAGTACATAATAGGTAATAATAAATGATTACATTACTAGTTTATATATTTATTATACTATTTGTATTATTATTTTAGAGTATACTCCTACTTATTAAAAAAAAAGGGTAATGGTAAAACAGCCTCAGGCAAATCCTTCAGGAAGCATTGTTTTCATGGGAGATGATCACTCCGTGCATATTACTGACCCTGAAGACGTTTCAGTGGGACAAGATGTGGAGGTAAAACACAGTGATATGGATACTGTTGACCCTATGTAGGCCCAGGCTAATGTGTGTGTGTCCTTGTTTTTAACAAAAATGTTTAAAAATAAAGCATTTTTAAAATAAAAAGTTTTTAAATAGAAAAAAGCCTATAGAATAAGGACATTAATATTTTTGTGTTGCTATGTAATGTGTTTGAAGTATTATTCAAGTAATAAAGATAAAAAATAGCAAGTTTATAATGTAAAAATATAGAAGCTAAGGTTAACTTTTTATTGAATAAAGAAAACTTTAAAAAATAAATCTAGTAAAGCCTAAGTACTGCTTGTAAAGTCTACAGTAGTGGACAGCAATGTCCTATTCCTTAGCTTTCTCACAGCTCACTCACTGACTCACCCAGAGCTTCAGTCCTGCAAGCTCCATTCATGGCAAGTATCTTACACAGGTGTGCCAATTTAAAATATTTTAGTCAGTATTTTTACTGTACCTTTTCTATATTTAGATACAGAAATACCACTGTTTTATAAATGCCTAGAGCATTCAATACAGTAATACGCTACGCAGGTTTGTAGCCTACGAGCAATGGACTATATACCATATAACCCAGGTATGTAGTAGGCTACCCCACTTCTGTTTGTGTCAGTGCACTCTGTGATGCTTGCATGATGCAATCACCTAATGACACATTTTTCAGAATGCGTCCCTGTAGTTAAGTGACAAATGTATATGCAAATTCCCAATCACCTGCTCTTTTATGATTGTTACCTCTTTATCTCCTGCTATATACATTGTTTTGAAGTCTATTATCAGATATTACTATTGCCACATCAACTTTGTTATACTTAATGTACATCTTTTTCTTGACCAATTTTAAGTAAAACTACACATGAAATCTCACAGACATTAGGGTAAACTAAAAGAGAAATGTGGAATTCTGGAACTGACAATTACACAGCTGACTGGAAAGGACACCAGCAAACTTTCCTGTGGTGCTGGTGTTGTAAACCAAAAATAAAATCCTAAGCATCCCCCAGGCCATCTGAATGGACCCCTCCCCTTGGCCAGGGCATTCCTAACCTGAAAAACTAGTAAAGCCATGTTGGAAAGGCGGAGGTGGGTGGGTCGGACATGCCTTATTATAGCCTCCTTCATTTTGGAATTACTGATGGAAAAGACCCCAAATCTGAAAAGAAACACAATCTACTCTCTGTGAAGCCTGCTATCTGGAGGCTTCACATACAAGACAAAATCTTGGTCTCCACAACGCACTATCAACCCAGACATTCCTAAGTCTTCAGTCAGTAACTCTTTCAATCTATTGCCAATCAAATAATCTTTGAATCTACCTATGACCTGGAAGGCCACCCACCTTTCAGTTTCCCGCCTTTCCAGAGGGGATCAATGTACATTTTGCATGTATTTAATTGGTGTTCCATGTTTCCCTAAAAGGTATAAAACCACATATATATCACAACCACCTTGCGCACAGGTTCTCAAGATCTCCTGAGGGCTGTGGCACCGGCCACTGGTCACTCATATTTAGCTCAGAATAAATCTTTTCAAATATTTTAGAGTTTGAGTCTTTTCGTCAACCGTGTAAATTAACACGCACTAGGGCGGGGACACACACACACACAGTGAGTGCCCTCTACCTGCCAGATTCCATTCTGGGGCTTTCTTATGGTACAAAACGGACAAAAACTCCCAGTCACCCTCAGGTTCACGACCACGGATCACAGAGTGGAGCAAAACCTTGCCCGACCCAGGATCCGAGTTCTCAGCTCGACCCTCCCCCAGCCGAAAGCCGGTACCCGCTTCAGGCCTTCCCAACCCTGCCCTCTGATTCCTTCTTCGGCCTCCCTCAGCCTGGAGTCCGGGTTTTCTCCCTGGCTGAGCACCTGGGTCGGCGACTCCCTTTACCCTCCCCGGTCCGGGCTTCTGGTTCCAGAGGTGAAGCGGCGTCCACCCAAACTTCCGCGGCTCCCCCACGGCCAGCCTCGGCCCAGCTTCCTGTTCCCCATTCTGCCCTCCCCAGCCCGGGTTCCCGATTACTTCCTAGGCTTCACCTTGCAGTCGGGGACCACCAGCTGCCTCTCCCGCGCCTGGAAGACGCACAGCGGCAGCCTCCGCCAAAGACAAAGGTCTGCGCACTCGGAAACGACAGAGGTCTGCGGCGTGGTGCGGCCCCTGCGACCAGCCGGCTCCGCTTGCGCATCAGACCGCTTTCGTTGCTGGACTACGTTTCCCACAGGCTCCAGGGCTGCGGATGAACTTCGACCTTTGATTCCCTTTCCGGTGGTGTCGTGGTTTTTGAGTTAAGCCTGGTGAGTCGAGGTGACCTGCGCCGGGCTGCGGGAGTAACTCGCGGCGAAGTGGCCCCGTGCAGCCGGGCGAGGTCGGTCCACGTGGAGCCGGGAGCCTCAGGCCTCTGTACACGGAGCTGCGGACGATGGTTGTCGGTGCTATTTGTTACGGCGTCATTGTGGGGTGTGTGTGTGTGTGTGTGTGAGTGTGAGTGTGTGTGTGTGTGAGTGCGCGCCCGCGCGCACCGTGGCTTCTGTTTGATCTGGCTTATAGGACGGTGAGTAGGGGCGGGGTCTACCGTGTGACAGCACCGTTGTGACCAACTATAAATGTGAACGGGGTGGGGGTTTTTGTTTTTGTTTCTCCATGAGCCTGTAGGAATTTGTTTTGGGTACAGCGTCATTTTTCCGACACTGCGTTGTCTATGATGTAATCTCTTCTCTGTCTTAGACACACACACACACGCATATATATATAGATAGATATAGATTAGATAGATTACACAGCTAGACAGATAGATACATTAGATAGATAAATGAAGTTGAAGTTTCCTGGGAAGAGATGACTGGGGGAGGTATAGATGTAGTATTCATTCCCGTAATAACTCCCCTTGCATGCATTTGCAGGTCATTTATACCTTAAAGAACTACAGTATTTCCTGAGCTGTGTCCCCTAGAAACTTATGTGAACTTAAGAGTACAGCTGTAGGCATTGGTCGTACCTTTTTCTCTTAAACCGGGAGGAGTCGACGGTATTCTAGTTTCCCTCTTCGATCTGGGTGTGTTTGTTGTATGTGGATCTTTTCTGGTGGTGAACAATGTGTTCTTATTTGAACTAGTCCAGGATGTCATAACCCCTTTCTCCCTCTTGGTTATGTAGTTCTGCAAGTGAAGGCCCCCTGAAGTGGAAGACAGCATTGGTACTTATTTATAATGGCCAACTCAAGGTGAGTTTTTTTGTTATGTCAGATACATTTTCTTTCCTGCCTTTCTTCCAGCCTCCCTCCCTCCCCCCACCTTGTCTTTCACAGAACATAGACTGCTTTCCTTCTCCAAAATTGTCCTGTCTAATTGTGACCTGTTGATGTACTTGGTCCCTTAGCTGCCTCTTCCCAATTAACAAGACTGTAGAGATGGGTCCCCTTGTCCTCCAGTGCCTTTCCAATGCCCATTTCCTTTTCACTGAATATTCACATACCCATTAGATAAATCATTCAATTCCCCCAAGTGCTCTTTTTTTCCCAAAGGATTCTTCCAGTATAGAAATACAACTCCTAGAGAAGTTAAATTTTTTTTTTTTTTTTTTGAGACGGACTTTCGCTGTTGTTACCCAGACTACAGTGCAATGGCACGATCTCAGCTCACCGTAACCTCCGCCTCCTGAGTTCAAGCAATTCTCCTGCCTCAGCCTCCTGAGTAGCTGGGACTACAGGTGCGCACCACCATGCCCAGCTAATTTTTGTATTTTTAGTAGAGACGGTGTTTCATCTTGTTGACCAGGATGGTCTCGATATCCTGACCTCGTGATCCACCCTCCTCAGCCTCCCAAAGTGCTGGGATTATAGGCGTGAGCCACTGAGCCCGGCCAGAAGTTAAATATTTTTTTAAGAATGTAATTTGTTGAGGAGGAGATGAGTGATTACATAGAATAGCATACTAGGTACCTTTGATCTTATTTACAGACTTAATTTGCAAAGAAAGCGAGATATGAGATGGTAGATATCAATCAGTAAGTGACAAAGTTGGCTTTGGAGACATTTGGAGACTTGTAAATCAACTCTCTGGGTAAGGAGAGCCCCAGTGTGAAGAGTTTGCAGATTTCTATGGTATAAACACAACTACCATGGTCTTTTTCAAGCTTCCAAGCATGAGGTCAATGAATACGAGAACTGGGGAGAGATGGTACAATTAGCTGGTGTGAGCTGGCTTAAGTCAGCTGCAGCACAGCTCTGCTGAGCCTGACTTTAACTGGGCATGTACTTTTTGCCAATAACTTGACATGCATGAACTTATTTAATACACACAGCAACTCTATAAGGCAGGAACTGTTATTATTGAGGCTTAAAAGGGGTTAGTTCCTTGTTGAAGTAGCAGAGCCAGAATTTGAATAGGAATTTTGTGCAGAGAAGGCTATGTCAACAAGGGCAGGGAATTTTTCCAGAATATTCATGAGATTTAAGTGGTGACAACCAAATCTTGTTTGATTGGCAGTGTGACTGATTCAGACAACATATTGGTGTAGATTGTGAGAGGCAGCCTGATACAGTGGTATTTGAGTCTAAAGCAGCACTGTCTAATGCAAATATAATATAAAGCCACTGAGGCAATATAAAAATTTCCATTAGACACATCTTAAAAAGGAAAAGAGGCTGGGTGCGGTGGCTCATGCCTATAATCCCAGCACTTTGGGAGGCCAAGGAGGGTGGATCATGAGGTCAAGAGATCGAGACCATCCTGGTCAACAAGGTGAAACCCCATCTCTACTAAAAATACAAAAATTAGCTGGGCATGGTGGTGCGCGCCTGTAGTCCCAGCTACTCGGGAGGCTGAGGCAGGAGAATTGCTTGAACCCAGGAGGCAGAGGCTGCGGTGAGCCGAGATCGTGCCATTGCAGTCTGGGTAACAACAGCGAAACCCCGTCTCAAAAAAAGAAAGGAAAAGAAACAGATAAAATTAATTTTGGTAATGTATTTTATTTAAACCAATATATTCAAAATATTATTTCAACATGTAATGATGTAAATGCACTGAAATACTTCACACTCATATCTTTCTACCATTTGCAAAATCTGTTATATGTTTTATTGTTATTGCATATCTCAATTTGGATGCTAAATTTTCAGTGTTAAAGGTGAATTATAGTCCTACCAAAACAATAAAGTTGCATTTAATGAAAAAACATTTATATAACTTTTGTATTTAAATTTAAATTAAATGTAATCCTGTGCTAATTTGCTTAGAAAAAAAATTTTTAATTCAGCTATTTGTTCACACTACATTTTCAAAGGGATTAGTAGTTACTCATTTTTCTGCTTTACAGTTTCTTGTTGTAGAATGTAGACAATATTTATATCAGTGGCTTTAGGATCTTTGTGAGGCCTGGATACCTTAATACGGACATAACCCTAGAGAATTTAATAAAGCCCTGGCATTTTAAGTCCTTATCTGCAAGGGAAGAAAAAAAGCTGGTTTGTGAAGATTCTTAGTATTCCCCAAACATTTTCTATAAATCAAGAGCAATGAAAAAATAAAGTTAATTTTTATGGGCACTTGAAATGAATTTTTAAAAGCCAGATTTGAAAATGTTCTATTAACTTAAGGCAGTTTGACTGTCTTAGGTTCAATGATTTGCTAGAAGGACTCACAGAACTCAGAAAAGCTGTTATGCTCATGCTTATTGTTCATTTCAATGAAAAGGTACACATTAAAATCAGCAAAGGGAAAAGTGCGTAAGGCAAGGAATGGGAGAAACCAGGTGCAAACTTCCACTGCATTGCACAGGCAGCACTTAATTTTCTCAGCAACAATGTGCAACTACAAATGTGAAATGCGGCCAACTGGGGAAGCTCTCCTAAGCCATGGTTTCCAGGGTTTTTTGTTTTGCTTTGTTTTCTTGTGTGTGTGTGTGTGTGGTTTTTTGTTTTTTGGTTTTTTTTTTTTTTGAGATAGGGTCTTGCTCTCTCACCTAGGCTGAAATGCAGTGGTGTGGTCACAGCTAACCACAGCCTCTACTTCCCAGGCCCAAGTGATCCTCCCACCACAGTCTTCTGAGTAGCTGGGACTACAGGCACACACCATAACACCTGGCTAATTTTTGTATTATTTGTATAGATGGGGTTTTGCCATGTTGTCCAGGCTGGTCTTGAACCCCTGGGCTCAAGTGATCCACCTGCCTCGGCCTCCCAAAGTGTTGGGATTACAGGCATGAGCCAGTGCCCTGGCCTGTGTCCAGGGTTTTTACTGAGGATCAGTCATGTGGTCATGGAGGTTCTGTACACCAACCTTAGCTACTTAGTCAAGCCTATCCAGAAGTCAGAGTGATACAGGTATTTACCATAAACCACATTGTTAACATAAACTACCTGGCATGGCTAAGACCTCAGATATACAGAGACTCTATTATCAGTCAGGATACTCTAAGTGCTCAGAGATTATCTCCCAGGAGCTGGTCAAGGACCATTTCTTCTTTGGAATATGTGAGGTTTGAGCACTCTGAGCCAATTTTTTTTCTTTTTCTTTTTTTTTTGCAATGGAGTCTTGCCCTGTGGTCCAGGCTAGAGTGCAGTGGTGTGATCTTGGCTCACTGCAACCTTCACCTCCCAGACTCAAGCAATTCTCATGTCTCAGCCTCCCAACTAGCTGGGACTATAGGTGTGCACCACCATACCCAGCTACTTTTTGCATATATATATATTTTTTTAAGTAGAGATAGGGTTTTACCATGTTGGCCAGGCTAGTCTGAAACTCTTGGCCTCATGTAATCCACCTGCCTCAGCCTCCCTAAGTGCTGGGATGCAGGCATGAGCCACCACACCCAGCTGGTTTTTAAAAACATAATTTATTTCTCTTTGTTGATATCTCACTTTTTTATATGTTGTCTTCCTGATTTCCTTTTCAGTTCTTTATGTTTTCCTTTAGCTGTGTGAACATATTTAAGAAAATGTTTACAAAGTTTTTCCTAGTTATTTCAGTGCTTTTGTTTCTTCAGGGGTGTTTTGTTTGCTCCTTTGATTGGACTATGTTTTCCTGTTTCTTTTTGAGATAGGGTCTCACTCTTGCCCAGCTTTGCAGTCTTGTTTTTTTGAGATGGAGTCTCACTCTGTTCCCCAGGCTGCAGTGCAGTGGCTCAATCTCTGCTCTGCCACTGCAACCTTCAGCTCCCAGGTTCAAGCAATTCTGCCTCACCCTCCTGAGTAGCTGGGATTACAGGCATCCACCACCATTCCTGCCTAATTTTTATATTTTTAGTAGAGATGGGGTTTCACCATGTTGGCCAGGCCAGTCTCAAACTCCCGACCTCAGGTGATCCACCCACTTTGGCCTCCCAAAGTGCTGGGATTACAGGCGTGAGCCACCCTGCCAGGCCGGCTTTTTCCTTTCTTTGAGATAGGGTCTTGCTCTGTCTCCCGGGCTGGAATGCCGTAGCAATCATATTCCACTGTGAACTCAAATTTTTGGGCTCAAGCAATATTCCCCACTTAGCTTCCCAAGTAGCTAGGACTGCAGGTGTGTACCTCCATACCTAGCCAATTTTTAAGTAATTTTTTTGTAGAGATGGGGGTCTTACTATGTTGCCTGGGCTGGTCTCGAAGTCCTGTCCTCATGTGATCCTCCCACCTTGGCCTCCCAAAGTGCTGGGATTACAGATGTGAGTCACTGCACCCTGCCCAATCTAGACTTATTCTTAGCATTCACTTCAATACTGACCCCTTCTCTACTCATTACCCAGGTCCAAAACTGCGTCTATATTTTTAAGTATTTATTACAGCAACATCCCATTATCCTGATTCCAGTTTCTGTTTTTGTTTGCTGCTATAAGAGAATACCTAAATGAGTAATTTATATAAAGAATTGACATTTATTTTTCACAGGCCTGAAGATTAGGAAGTCCAAAATCAAGGGACTGGCAGGTTTGGTTGAATGGTGAGAGCTGCTCTTTGCTTTCCAAGATGCTACCTTGATGACACGTCATCTGTAGGGGAGGATTGCTTTATCCTCACATGGCAAAAGGCCGCATGATGCCTTTTTATAAGGGCCTTAATCCCACTCCTGAGGGGAGGAGCCCTCTGATCTGACCACCACCTAAAGGACCTGCCTCCTAATACTATCAGATTAGTAATACATGAGTTTGGGAAGGGATATATTTAAATCATAGCAAGAGCATATACCTGCATCTTGTTTTTTATGCATTCTGACTCTCTGCCTTTTGATTGTTTAATCTATTCACATTTAATGTTATTATTGATACAGTTGGATTTACAGCTGTCATTCCACCTTTTTTCAGTGTATGTCAAGTCCTTTTTTCTTCCTCTGTTCCTTTACTGCTTTCTTTTGCATCAAATGAGTATTTTCTAATGTGTATTTAATTTCTTTAATGATTTTTTTCACTATATTTTGGGTTATTTCTTTAGCAGTTGCTCTAGGTCTTAACACATCTGTATATATCTTATCAGAAACAGCTTCTGATTTATATTAGCTTAATTCAAGTGAGATATAGAAGTGTTACTCTTATATAACTATTTCATCTCTTACAGTAATATTGGTTGTCACATAACATCTACAGATGTTTCAAACTCAACCAATTGTTACAATTTTTATGTTACATAAATCTTTTTTTAACTACAAGAAGAAAGGAGAATCTTTATACATTTATAACTTTTATTTTAGCCATCTGATTTATCACTTTTGGTTCTTATTTGGTCCAGATGGATTTGAGTTACCATCTGGATTCATTTCCTTAGCCCAATACAACTTTGCTTTCCCCTGCCTTCTTTGTGTTATTATTAGCAAATATATTACATTTCTGTATGCTATGGGCCCAATAATACATAATATACATAGTTTCATAAAATTTGTGTATCAGTTAAGAGAAGAGATATGTATGTATACTGCCTTTTATAATTACATAATTGCCTTCTCTTTGTTTTGCATATGGATTTGTATTACTGCCTAAGATCACCTATTTTCAGCCTCAAGAGCTTCCTTGAGTACTTTTTAAGGTCAGTCAGCTAGCAATAAATCCTCTCAGTTTTTATCTGGAAATGTCTTTTCATTTTAAGTTTTGACATGTAGGTTTGCTGGATAAGGATAACCACCCACCTCTGTTTTACCGACACATACATAAGTGTATACACATACATACAAGCACACTTTATCTGTCCACCCATTGATGGACACTTAGTTTTCCATATCTTGGTTATTGTGAATAATGGGGTCATAAACAAGGGCTGCAAATATCTCTTCAAGTTACTGACTTCGGCCAGGCATGATGGCTCACACCTGTAATCCCAGCACTTTGGTAGGCGAGGTGGGTGGATCAAGAGGTCAGGAGTTCAAGAGCAGCCTGGTCAACATGTTGAAACCTCGTCTCTACTAAAAATAAAAAAGCCAGGCATGGGGGCACGCACCTGTAATCCCAGCTAGTTGGGAGCCTGAGACAGGAGAATTGCTCGAACCTTGGAGGTTAAGGTTGCGGGGAGCCAAGATTGCGCCACTGCACTCCAGCCTGGGCAACAAGAGCAAGACTTCATGGTGGGGGCAGGGGACAGGGGATGACTGACTTCACTTCTTTTGGCCATATACCCAGAGGCGAGATTGCTGCATTGTATGGTTGTCCTATTTTTAAGTTTTTGAGGAAGCTCCATACTCTTTTTCAGAAGGACTGTACCAATTTACATCCCCAAAAAGGGCTTTCCTTTTTTCCATATCCTTGTCAATATTTTTTTCTTTCTTGTCTTTTTGATAACAGCAGCCCTATCAGATATGAGGTAATATTTCATTGTGGTTTTGATTTGCATTTCCCTGATGTTTAGCGATATCGAGCACCTTTTTGTGTACCTGTTGACCATTTGTATGTCTTCTTTGGAAAAATGTCTATCCTGTTTTTGCTAATTTTTTAACTGGTTTTCTTTTTTTTTGCTACTGAGTTGAATGAATTTCTTATAAATTCAGATATTAACCCCTTGTCAGATATATAATTTGCACATATTTTCTCCGCCTCTGTAGAATGTCATTTCACTTTTTAAATTGTTTCCTTTGTTTTAAAGAAGCTTCTTAATTTGGTCCCACTTTGTTTTTGCTGTTTCTGGTGCTTCTGGTGTCATATTTTAAAAAATCATCATGCAAGACCAATGTCAGGAGCTTCAACTATGTTCTCCTCTAGGAATTTTATAGTTTCAGGCCTTATATTTAAGTCTTTACTCCGTTTCAAGTTGTTTTTTCTAAGTGGTGTGAGGTAGGGGGGTCACTTCAATTTTTTTGCATGTTGATGGATTTAGGATTCTGGGTTGAAGGTTTCTGTGTGAATACTTTGTATATATCATCCATATATATATAATGTTTTTCTGATGAGAATACAGCAGTTAATACTTTTGTATTAATTTCACTTTTAACCTGCAGTTTCCTTTTACTTCATTCAAAATTTTCTCCATTTCTTTCTTTGGATTTCAGTGCTTTTATCATGATGCACCTATATTTGGGTCTCCATGCATTTATTCTGCTTGGTGTTTGTTGAGCTTCCTGAATGTGCAGTTTAATGTTTTTCAATAAATTTTGGAATTTTAAATCCATTATGTCTTTGTAAATTTTAAATGCTTTTTTTCTGTCTCACCTCTTTTTTGGTACTCCTGTTTATATCAGTGTGCTTAGTGTGGTCTCACATTCCTCTGAGATGTTACTTTGTCTTGTTTTCTTTCTGTTCATCAGATTACACCATTGCTATTAATCTGTCTTCAACTTTGCTAATACTTCTGCCAGTTCATATCTACTATTGAGTCCTTCTAGTGAAAATTTCATTTGTTATTACATCTTGTAACTTCAGAATTTACATGTTTATTTTTAATAATTTGTATGTCTTTATTGATATTCTTTTGATGCAACATTATGATCGTACCTACATTTTAACTATGGTTTCCTTTGTCTACTTGAACATATATTATAATGGCTACTTTGAAGTCTTTGCCTGTTAAATCTGGTTGCTCTCACAGGCAGTTTTTGTTGTGGGCTTCTTTTCCAGTGTGTGAATCATACTTTCCTATTTCCTTGACTGTCTCTTATTTGTGGAAAGTGGACATTATAGACAATTGTTGGAATTCCAGTACTCTTGTCCACACCCTCTGTCTCAGAGCTTGTTATTGGTACTTGCTTATTTAATTCCTTAGTGACTGTGATATGGTTTGGCTCTGTGTCTCCACCCAAAACTCACCTTGAATTGTAATAATCCCCACATGTCAAGGGCAGGACCAAGTGGAGAAAACTGAATCATGGGGGCAATTTGCCCCATACTGTTCTTGTAATAATGAGTTCTCACAAGATCTAGTAGTTTTTTAAGGGGCTTCCCCCTTCACTCTCATTCTCTCTCCTAACACCCTGTGAAGAGGTGCCTTCTGCCATGATTGTAAGTTTCCTGAACCCCTGCAACCCAGCCATGCAGAACTGTGAGTCAATTAAACCTCTTCCCTTTATAAATTACTTAGTCTTGGGTATATCCTTATAGCAGCATGAGAATGGACTCTGGATTATTTTAGTGAAGTCTGTTCCCACCATGGTGTAAAATCTCTTGATGTTGCTCATTGGGGGTATAGCCTTGGCTATTTTTACAGACACCATTAGATGACAGAGTGGTTCTGACAGGGCTGTCTTTGAGCATCTCCCTCGCCACCCCTAGCTGTTAAGCACCACTGATTGCAACTTACAGCAGTATTGCTTACATAAGTGCCCTGGAGTATAGATGCTTCACAGGCTAATGTAATCAAACTGGGGCTTTCTTGAGGTCAGTGTTTCAGATATGTTGACAACAGAATGCCTGTTTCCAGGTGTCTCTTTCTCTGTTTCTGTCTGGCAGACTAGCAACCCTACAGTATAACATACATCTCTTATCTGTCAACGTCCTCCCAATTGCCCTTCACCAAACTTTTCAGTTTTTGACGTTGCCCTTTTGACATTTGCACATCCTCTTGCAAATCAATTCAGTTCCATTGAGAAGGAATACAGAACTCTCTGTTCTATTGCCCACTTCTCATGCTGGACAAAATCTCAGAGCCTCTGTTCTAGTGCTGGAGGCAGGGACAATGACATGTATCTCTCTGACTGATTCCCCTGCTTTAGGAGCTGAGTGCTTGGTAGATGGCAGGTGGGGGCAGCAGCCAGGTCTCCCTGGTTTGCCTGTTTTGGCATGGAACTCCTGCCCCCGGAGCCAGGGCACAGCAATTGGAACCTCAGTATGCTCAGCAGTACCACATCCAAGTTAAAGCCTACATTTCATGTTTTGGGCCTAGACAGAGGAAAGGAGTCATCATTCTTCAGCTGTGCAGCAGATAGCTGGGACAGAGTGGAAAATGATGATATCCTACCCCACCTAGGAAGATAGCTATCCGACTGGGGGAAGGATTGAGAAGTGGTGAAGAAACTCCGTGCCTTTGGCTATCCTGTCTGTGGTAGAGTCTTTCTCACCAAGATGGAATGGACAATGGAAGGCTAAGGTTTGGTTTACGTAGTCTAGACTCTCAGAGTTCTAACATGCTTTTGGAGATTTTCTTAATGTTTCTTCGTTTGCTGCATATTTCTGGCACCATTTCCAGAGACTTTAAATGGTGATTCTTTTTTAAAAAATAATTTTTACAGTTTCATTGGAGATCATGTCCATGGAGCTCCTCATGTTGTCATGCCAGAAGTGAAGTTCCCTGACCAGTTCTTTACAGTTCTAACCATGGACCATGTAAGTTACTATTTCTCTTTTCTTTGTGGTATTTCCTTTTTCCTAATTTTTCCTACCAGACACCTCTATCACACAACCTGCACCACAACCCCATACTTTTTCACTTTCTAGTAAGGGCTGGAGTCTAACAGCACAGTGTCCCTCCCTATTCTCCAAATAATGTTCAACACTCCTATGTGTTCAGTCCTTTATCAAGGGCAGATATAGAAGTGGAATCCCTAGACTTTTCCTTGTCATATTCTTGGATAGGGAAAAGAGCAGTGGGAATTATTTGATGATAATTGGGCATACTCTGACCTCTACACAGACTTGAGTTTCCAGCGAGATTGGATTTTATGTTGAATGGTATCAGGTCATATAAAATGATGATGGTAGACCACAGAATTGAAGAAGACCTTTCTAACCTGAAAGTTGGAGTTTAATTAAGGCTATTATATTTTTAACAAGAAAACTACTCTGTAGCCACTAAAAACACTAAAACCTTTGTTGCTAGAAGTAATAATTCTTATTATATAATGTGAAATAATATGTCAAGTAGTAATGAACTTGGGTCTACAATAAGTCTTTAATTTTGTTCATACCTCATTTTCAAAGTTAGAAGTTAGATATTTTTCTCCTGTACAGGGGAATGGGGGTATAGAAACTTACCTTTATTGATAATTCATGAGGGAGGCACATAGCATGAAATGTACTTGTATACAGTACTTCTTTTTTTTTTTTTTTTTTTTTGAGACGGAGTTTCGCTCTTGTTACCCAGGCTGGAGTGCAATGGCGCGATCTCGCTCACCGCAATCTCCGCCTCCTGGGTTCAGGCAATTCTCCTGCCTCAGCCTCCCAAGCAGCTGGGATTACAGGCACGCACCACCGTGCCCAGCTAATTTTTTGTAATTTTAGTAGAGACGGGGTTTCACCATGTTGACCAAGATGGTCTCGATCTGTTGACCTCGTGATCCACCCGCCTTGGCCTCCCAAAGTGCTGGGATTACAGGCTTGAGCCACCGCGCCCGGCCTACAGTACTTCTTTTAATTTGTAAACTGATTGTTAATTTGTAAACATGGTTGGCTAAATAAGAGATCCCATAAGTATGCAGAAAGATTTCTGTGAATCAAAGTGAGTCTTTAAAGATGTCCATAGTCTGGTTTGGAATCACTAATTTCCTTACTTCCCATGTCATAGGCTTCTGTTCCTGGTCTCCTTGTTTACTGTCCAATCCCCTTGCTGTAAGGCAATTCCTTTTCTCTTGTCTTTTTCTCAAAAATATTTCCTTATATTTTACCTGTGATGTACGGGTTTGTTTCAGGAATTGGTGACATTCAGGGATGTGCTTATCAACTTCTCTCAGGAGGAATGGGAATATTTAGATTCTGCTCAGAGGAACTTATACTGGGATGTGATGATGGAGAACTACAGCAACTTACTCTCACTGGGTAAATTTATCTGCCTCAAGTAACTTAGAATATACTGTCTAGACTATCAGCTGATATTCAGCGAACTCAAGGCTATGTTTAAGAAACTAGGTGAACTTCTGATTTCAAAGGCATGCTTTCAGTGTTGTGCTGCAAATGACATCTCCATTAATCTTCCGCATTCTTCACAATATTCTTACCTTCTCAGGCCCTTCATATAATTTCTACCTTCTTTGATACCAAGGAGCTGGATTTGACTTATGGGACACATACAGCATATCACTGAGACATTACAGGTTGAGTATCCCTTATCCAAAATACTTGGGATGAGACTGTTTTGGATTTGGGATTTTTTGCAGATTTTGGAATATCTGCATATACATAATGAGACATCTTAGGGAATGGACCCAAGTTGAAACACAAAATTCATTTATGTTTCATATACCCTTTATACACATGGCCTGAAGATAATTTTATACAATGTTTTTAATAGTTTTATGCATGAAACAAAGTTTGTGTTAAGTAGTTATGTGTATCTAACTATTAGCATCATGTCATTGCTCAAAAACTTTTGGATTTTGTAGCACTTCAGATTTTAGATTAGGGATGTAAAACCTGTACATTGTGTTTGAGGTCAGAATTGCTATAAATACTTTATATTCTTACCCACTGTCTGGGAGAATTTTTAAGATACTGTGTGTCCTGATTTGTTAGGATTGCTAAAAGAATCTGAGCCAGGTGTGATGGCTCATGCCTGTAATACCAGCACCTTGGGAGGCTAAGGCGGGTGGATCACAAGGTCAGGAGAACGAGACCATCCTGGCCAACATGGTGAAACCTCGTCTCTACTAAAAAAATACAAAAATTAGCTGGGCGTGGTGGCATGAACCTGTAGTCTCAGCTACTCAGGAGGCTGAGGCAGAATTGCTTGAATCCGGGAGGTGGAGGTTGCAATGAGCCGAGATTGCGCCACTACACTCCAGCCTGGCACCTGGCGAGAGAGCAAGACTCTGTCTCAAAAAAAAAAAAAGAGTTTGAGACCAGCCTGACCAACATGGTGAAACCCCATCTCTACTAAATACAAAAATTAGCCAGGCGTGGTGGCAGATGCTTATAAACCCAGTTACTAGGGAGGCTGAGGCAGGAGAATCACTTTAACCCGGGAGGCAGAGGTTGCAGTGAACCAAGATCACGCCATTGCACTCCAGCCTGGGTGACAGAGTGAGACTCTGTCTCAAAAAAAAAAAAAAAAAAAAAATAGAATCTCTACAATTTATATATTGATAGACTGATAACAGTTCACATTCATTTCCTCCCACCTGCTTTATGGCTAAAGAACTTTGCATTTAATCTTAGTATTCCACCAAGGACCTTTTAATAGCTCAGAAAGTTACTTTCCTCTCAGCTGCCATAGTTCTTGCCTTCTACTTGGCCCTGTCCTAAGCACTTTAAATAACTAACTCGTGGCTAGGTACAATGGCTCATGGCTGTAATAGCAGCAATTTGGGAGGCCGAAGCGGGTGAACTGCCTGAGCTCAGGAGTTCATGACCAGCCTGGGCAACATGGTGAAACCCCGTTTCTACTAAAATACAAAAAATTAGCAAGTGTGGTGGTGTGCACCTGTAGTCCCAGCTACTTTGGAGGCTGAGGCAGAAGAATTGCTTGAACCTGGGACGCAGAAATGCAGTGAGCCAATATGCCACTGCACTCCAGCCTACGCGACAGAGTGAGACTCCATCTCAAAAAAAAAAAAAAATTTGACTCGTTTAATTCTTACAATAGCTTAGTGATATAAGTGCTACTTGTATTATTGTCGTACAGAACAGGTTGCTTACAACAGAGAGTATGTAGGTACTTCTGCAAGGCTACACAGCCGCTTAGTTACAGAGGTAGGTTTTCTACCCAGGCAATCTGGCACCAAAGACAGTATTTTTAACTTTTATACTGCTTCTCCAGACAAAGAATTAGTATGAGTTTAAATAACATAAGACCTTTCTTTACCTGTCTAGTCTCTTTATACTTGATAATTACGTGGTTACTCTAAGGTGAATGTCTTTCCAATTCCCTCACATTTCCCTTCTCTTTATCATTATAATTTCATCAGTATAATTTCTCGATCAATATAATTTTTTTAATCAATATAATTTTGATTTTTTATTAAAACTTTTACCAATTCTCAAAACTATATTTTAAAAATTGGTTATAATTTTAAAAAATACATTGTTACATTTATTTGTTGTAAGAAGAGTGTTCCATTTCTAATCCCCACCTTGTTGAGGAGGGGAAGTTACTCTATAGAGTTTACAGGATGTGAAAGAAGACAGGGCCAGGTGAGTGATGGCCAGTGAGGGATAGAAAGTCGTTGCCAAAGCACAAAGCCCATCTGATCCAGGAGGAGATGAGTCCCTATGGCGCTGCTGGGAAAATCCCTTTGAAAGCCTGTGGTTAAAAAAAAAAAAAAAAAAAAAAAAAAAAAAAAAAAAAAAGCCTGGCACTTGGAGAAGGAAATTAAGAGCGTCTCCAATGCCACCAATTTTTTTCTGATGCCTCTTGTATTTAGAATTACATATATATATATTGACCAAAAAAAAATACTCATTCATATCCTCAATATTTACTCAGTGTCTACATTGTACAGACAGATATCAGTACAAGGGTGAACAAGACCAATACAGACCCTGCTCTCATGGAATTGGCATACTAGTTATTGAGATGTGTAATAAACAAGTAAACAAGTTGATAATATATATAGTGAAATGTGTAAGAATAAAGGGATAGAGAACAATGGGGAAAGAGTTAATTCAGGTAGCATGGTCAGAAATGAATCTCTCTGGTCTTAGTTGGGCATTTTATAGATATATGGTTCCTTTTCAATGATTCAACAAATGTTTTTTCAATTGGAAGTCCTCAGCGGAATTGATGTGTTTCAATTTGTCATTCTTGTTGTATTAGTTGCTATCATGTTCTGTGGTAGACTTGTATAATTCTAATGGGAAAAGCAAACAGGCTGGTTTTTTTTTTAATTATTATTATGTCTTTTATATTACTGTATCTTAGTAGCCACCTCAAATGGTGCACTAGAAATTTTCTTACCTTCTATTAAGTCTCATTATGTTTCTATATTTTATTGGTTCAGGATACATTAGCTCACCAGAGTCTGACTTTTGATGCCAGTTGTATGAATATTGGATGCAATTTTGATATACTGATACCAGGTTTTCATATGGTGATTTCTGTGCACTTTGGCTTTAGCCTTTAACCTTTGAATTTATTCTCACTTTTTGTCAAAAGCTTTTCCAAGGCCCATTCTATAACCCCCCTATCCCAGACCTGGCATTGATTGGATATGAGTGCATTTTTCTGGTTTTGTTTAGCATGTTTCAGTACATAAACCTTTTTCCCCTCATTTCACTCTTGTATTGTCAAAATGGTGGCTTCCTTTAGCTCCCTCAAGCTGTTTCGTGTCCCTTTGATGTGACTCACTATTGCAAAACTTTTTTCTTTCAGACAGAACATTACAGGGTACATCTCATACTTCCCCTGCTCCAGATCATCATTCAGGCCTTTGTTCTAGGATTCCTAGTTTATTTCTGGTTTACTTCAACAACAAGAACAATAAGGCAAGGTTATGATTCTTCTGTTTCATGGAGTTTGAAAATTTTATCTCATTCCAGGAATTCAGTTTTTTCCAACTATTATTGCTTTTGGGGTTGGTTTTAAATATCTCTTTACCAAGAAATTAATTCATTAGTCTACATTTTAATCTTTATTAGCATAGGAGTCCTATAACATTTTTTATATGTTTTCATCACATTGTAATTGTTTGATAATTTCTCACTTTTTCTTTGGGTCATTGTTCTTTTATATACATTTGTTATTTTTACTCTTTTTAAAAAATAATCATTTAAATCTTTACTTTTTATGAGACAAATATATTAGCATTCCATAGATGTCAGTTAGAAATGTTTTCAACATCATGGTTCTCTACAGATTTTGTGATTTCAATTACATTTCCACATTGACTCAACAGTTATTTAGTAGAGAGCTTCTTTTTTTTTTGAGACAGAGTCTCACTCTGTTGCCCAGCCTAGAGTACAGTGCTGCGCTGCAATCTCAGCTCACTGCAACCTGTATCTCCTGGGTTTGAGTGATTCTCCTGCCTCAGCCTCCCAAGTACCTGGCATTACAGGTATGCACCACTATGCCCAGCTAATTTTTTTTTTTGTATTTTTAGTAGAGATGGGGTTTTGTCGTGTTGGCCAGGCTGTGCTGGAACTCCTGACCTGAAGTGATCCGCGTACCTCGGTTTCCCAAACTGCTGGGATTAGAGGGGTGAGCCACTGTACCTGGCCTAGTAGAGAGCTTCTTTATATCTAGCTGAAAGTACTTTTGACTTAGTGATACTGTCACTCAAATCTGGTTTTAATGTTTTAGGCAGATATTGATGCCTGCATTATTTAATCTTTCTTATATATAATTCAGTCATGGGAAATAACTCTTGCCTCTTACCATACAGTGTTTATCTGTCACTGAGTTTTCCCCAGGCATTCCCTTCTCATTGTCGTCCTCCAGATGATATCCATAAAATCTTTCATTACAAAGTGCCCTAAAATCTTATCTACCTAGACCACCTTCTTCATATGATTCTGTTAGCATATTCTCCTTTTCACTCATGAGCCCTTGCTCAGAACTGTGTAAGTCTAACAGTGGTTATAATTATATTCAGATATAATTCTAATATCTGAAATATTATAATATTTTTGGGAAGCACCAGCATTAGTTGACTTCGGGTATAAGAAAATGGAAAGGAATATCTGTAAAAGAGCATAAAAGAATAAATGGAAGTTTTAGGAGGACAGCAGAGTAAGGATACATACGCTATTGAAGAGAAGTAAATAACACATTTCATCTTGATTATATTTCTTCATCCCATATGTCAATCATGGCTCTGCATAGAAGGGAATAAGCAATAGTGGTGGAGACAATATATATAAGTGGAGAAGCAGTTGGAAAATACATACAAATGCTCACCATATTTATGTATCTTACTGTATTATGAATATATATGTAATAATCACTAATACAATGTGAGGGATAGGAGGCCCTGATAACTGGCATTATTCTTTTAGTTACGTAATTATTTTGATGCTGTTTTCCAGTGACTTATCTTTGTATATATACCTCTATTTTTATTTAGATTCATTTATACAGTGATTTACTTTTCCTCTAGTTAATTATCATATATTGTGTCCTTACAGCTTATTATACATTGGCACGAGAAAATTTATTTCATTTGTCCTTGTGGAATTTAAGGAATAAAGAAGTAAATGGTGTAAGAGAACAGTACTGAATATACAACTGAAAAAAATATATATGAGGGTAAGGCACTAGATACAGGGTTAGAAACAGAAATGAGTTACTTAGGGTCAACTAATATGCCCCTTCTGAGGGTAGTTATCTTGAGACTTAACAAAGAAAATAAGCTGGAATACAAAGACACTATTTGTAAGAAATGAAATATTCTGTGGGTAGCTCTAAATGATAGGAAATTTGTTTGATCTAGGGGGTGAAAAATGTTGAGGAGAATGGGTTCAAATGAGGTTTTCGGTGTTTTTATTTTTTCTGAAATGGACTGTTGCTCTGTAGCCCAGGCTAGAGTGCAGTGGTGTGATCTCAGCTCCCAGCAACCTCCACCTCCTGGGTTCAAGCAATTCTTGTGCCTCAGCCCCCTGAGTAGCTGGGATTACAGGTACATGCCATCATGCCTGGTTAATTGTTTGTATTTTAGTAGAGGCAGGGTTTCACCATGCTGCCCAAACTCCTAAGCTCAGGTAACTCACCCACTGTGGCTTCCCAAAGTGCTAGGATTACAGGTGTGAACAAACACGCCCAACCAAAGTGAGGTCTTACAAATTGCACATTGTTATTATCCTTGGTAAAGTTTATTTTGGGGGAAGAAAATCACAGTAGTGTTAGTATATGTGGATTATCAAATTTTGATCTGCATTAGCATTATCTCTATAAGATGCTAATGACTAGTTCTACATCTGCAGATTTTGATTCCATTTAACCAACAACTTTACCAGGTGATGTCCAACACACAAATTTCAGATCCACTGACTTAATCTGTTACCCTTATCACAAATCTCATAATCTCTATGTTCTGTTGTTATTCTCAAGCTCTGTTTGTCTTTCTCCAAATTTCAAAACAGTATTTTAACCAATTCATGTATATGGTGAATTATTCTTAGATTGTTTCTTCTTTCTATAACTGTTTTATTTTAGTAGTACATGAAAATTATTTTTTCCTTTCTTTCAGATTTGGAGTCCAAGTATGATACTAAGCTTTTATCTGTAGGAACAGACATTATTAAAAACACTGGTTCTCAGTGGGAGGTAATGGAAAGTAGTAAGTTATGTGGCCTTGAAAATTCCATTTTCAGAAATGACTGGCAAAGCAAAAACAAGGCTGAAGTACAGGGACCTAAAGTGGGATATTTTAGTCAAATGAAAACCAACTCTCAAAATGTGCCCAGTTACAAAACTCATGAATCTCTTACATTACCTCAGAGAACTCATGACAGTGAGAAGCCCTGTGAATATAAGGAATATGAGAAGGTCTTCAGTTGTGACTCAAAGTTTGATGAATATCAGAATATACATACTGGTGGAAAAAACTATGAATGTAATGAATGTTGGAAAGCCTTTGGGATAGATAACTCCAATATGCTACAACTGAATATTCATACTGGTGTGAAACCTTGTAAATACATGCAATATGGGAATACATTTTGTTTTTATAAAGACCTTAATATACACCAGAAAATTCATAATGAGAAATTCTATAAATGTAAGGAATACAGAAGGACCTTTGGAAGAGTTGGAGAAGTTACTCCACTTCAAGGAATTCATGATGGTGATAAACACTTTGAATGCTCGTTCTGTGGGAAATCCTTTAGAGTGCATGCACAACTTACTCGACATCAGAAAATCCATACTGATGAGAAATCTTACAAATGTCTGGAATGTGGCAAGGACTTCAGATTTCATTCACAACTTACTGAACATCAGAGAATTCATACTGGTGAGAAGCCCTACAAATGTATGCACTGTGAGAAGGTTTTTAGAATTAGTTCACAGCTCATTGAACATCAGAGAATTCATACTGGTGAGAAACCTTATGCATGTAAGGAATGTGGGAAGGCTTTTGGAGTTTGTAGAGAACTTGCTCGTCATGAGAGAATTCACACTGGTAAGAAACCTTATGAATGCAAAGCATGTGGAAAGGTCTTTAGAAATAGTTCATCCCTGACTAGACATCAGAGGATTCATACTGGTGAAAAACCCTATAAATGTAATGAATGTGAGAAAGCATTTGGAGTAGGTAGTGAACTTACTCGACATCAGAGAATTCACAGTGGTCAAAAACCTTATGAATGTAAGGAGTGTGGAAAGTTCTTTAGACTTACGTCAGCCCTTATTCAACATCAAAGAATTCATAGTGGTGAGAAACCTTATGAATGTAAGGTATGTGGGAAGGCCTTTAGACATAGTTCAGCCCTTACAGAACATCAGAGAATTCATACTGGAGAGAAACCCTATGAATGCAAGGCATGTGGGAAGGCCTTTAGACATAGTTCATCCTTTACCAAACATCAGCGCATTCATACTGCTGATAAACCCTATGAATGTAAGGAATGTGGGAATTCCTTTAGTGTGGTTGGACATCTTACTTGCCATCCGAAAATTTATACTGGTGAGAAATCATTTGACTGAAATGAATGTATAAAGTTTCTTTTTTATTTCTGATTTTCACAGGAAAAAACTATGGATAGATTTAATAGGTAATCAAGGCAATTCAATATCTCCCTCTTTTAGAGTCTGTTTTAGACTTTGTGGCCATTCTGTATGTAGAAGTAGAATTGCTTAGTCATAGCTGATATATACTTACAGCTTTGTTAGATATTGCCAAATATTTCTTTTATATTAAAAAGTTTTTTTCATGGGTTTCTCATCCAGGCATGTTTTTACAGTACCTTTTGGTGTTTATATTTTTGCTCTTTTGATTGCTTCCTTTTGTAATTGTAGTATTACTTCAATGTCTTTTTTAGATCGTAATTATTTGCTTGTGACATCTACTTATTTATTTTCCTCCAGAAAGTCAGAACTCCCAGTCAGATACGACATATTTTTACACTCTTATAGCTCTTCATTTTGTGTAATATGCTTGTTTTTTTTAAATGATAAAAATGTGATCTTTCCATTTTCATCAAATGGTTTCCCTCTCTTTAAATTTCTACTTTATTTTGATATAACATATTCCTCTTTAAAAAAAACCACACATACGGCCAGGCATGGTGGCTCAGGCCTGTAATCCCAGCACTTTGGGAGGCCAACGCAGGTGGATCACGAGGTCAAGATTGAGACTTTCCTGGCTAACATGGTGAAACCCTGTCTCTACTAAAAATTAAAATTAAAAAAAATAGCTAGGCATGGTGGCATGTGCCTGTAATCTCCACTACCTGGGAGACTGAGGCAGGAGAATCACTTGAACCCAGGAGGCGCAGATTGCAGTGAGCTGAGATCACATCACTGCACTGCAGCCTGGCAACAGAGCGAGACTCTGTCTCAGAAAAAAACAAACAAACAAAAAATATATATATAATTATATTATATATTTGAACTGGTTGTAGTCCACTATAACACACGCACACACAATATGTGTATGTATATAGTGTATGCATGTTGTATGCTATATATAGTGTATATGTGTGTGTTATATTGGAATATAACCAGTTCCTTTAAGGAGTCTTTTTACTTGCAGGCTGTACCAACCATGATCCAAATGAAGAGAACTTTTTTAAATATTTGATAAAATTACTCACCCAATAAGTCTCTTAAATTTTATCATTCTAGGGCCAGACGTGGTGGCTCACACCTGTAATCCCTAAAATTACTCACCCAATAAGTCTCTTAAATTTTATCATTCTAGGGCCAGATGTGGTGGCTCATGCCTGTAATCCCAGCACTTCAGGAGGCCGAGGTGGGTGGATCACCTGAGGTTGGGAGCTCAAGACCAGCGTGGCCAACATGGTGAAGCCCTGTCTCAAAAAAAAAATTAGAAAATATATCATTCTATTAAATTATCACTCTTAAATATGTCAAACACCTTTAAAAGGGGAGAAAAAATGACAACTGAACTTACATTAAGAGGATTTACAACTATATATTAACATGGCTTCAATTGTGTTTTAATCTATTATCATTATTTTTTCTTTTTATTTCCTCTCAGTTGCCTTACTAGGTTTGGACATTTCAACAATCAGCAGACCTTCTTTGGTTTAAATAATCTCATTTAACTACAAAATCATCTCTCTCTTAGGACAGCTGAATTGGTTATGCAGTCAATGAGATCATGAGCCACTGGTTATTAGATTTTTGTAAGAAAATTTAACTATCTTGTTCAGATGACTTTATGTCACGATCATTCATTACATTTTAATTTTTGAACTGGTGTCTTTCCCAGAATTTATGTACTCTATAAAGGTCTGAATGATTACCAGTACTAATATACATTTTCTCAACTGATACATTGAGCTATGTTTTACGTAAGTATTGCTTATTCAAGTAGTTTTAAAAGATACATAATTGGTTGTTGTTTCATGTCCTACACAGTAAGAACAAGAGTATGTTAACCCTTTTGTTAGGATATTTGGTATTTCATATCTTTCAAATAGAGTACTAGCTCTATTTCTTTTCTTTTTGAGACAGTTTTTTCTTTTTGAGACAGGCTGGAGTGCAATGACACAATCTTGGCTCATTGTAACCTTCACCTTCTGGGTTCACATGATTCTCCTGCCTAAGCCTCCCAAGTAGCTGGGTTTACAGGTGCCTGCCACCATGCCTGGCTAATTTTGTATTTTCAGTAGAGATGGGGTTTCTCCATGTTGGTCAGGTTCATCTAAAACTCCCAACCTCAGATGATCTGCCCACATCAGCCTCCCAAAGAGCTGGGATTACAGGAGTGAGCCACTATGCCTGGCCACTAGCTTTATTTCTAACCAAACTCTATTTATGTGACAACACAGCTAATTTCCTCTTGGATCCCATTCTACCTTTTTATCTTGAGTTACCATCAGTGCTAATGTTCCTCTCTTGGGTGTGGTTCTCCAGGAGAATTTGTCCTATATTTCTTTGTGTGTGTTTTTTTCTTTCCACCTTAAACAAATTAAAACTACTAAATATCTAAGCCTTGTATATAGACATTAAAATTAAAAGCAGTGGGAAAAACAAAATATCCTTGTATCTTGGCTTTTACTTTTTCAAGTTGTTAATAAATGATAAATTGATGAATAAAATGTATCTTTATTATGGTTTCCTTATTTGCAATTACAGCTATATTTTTTATCATATTAACATTTTTCATTTAACTTTGTTATGAAGTCATGGCATTTCACACTTACTCCAAACCATAATATAATTATTGTTGGTGGTATTAACTGTTTGGTTTTTATTACTGTTTCATACTCAAAAATATAAAACTTCACCATTCTTTCCATTTTTATTTGCCCCTATATTCTTTCTGACTTCTAGTGAGAAGTCAGAAAGATTGGATTTCTTTGATTATATGAGAAAGTACCATAGAGCTATTCAGCTGCAAACCTGCACCATTCTCCCAAAAAGGGAAGAATGATTCTGATGACACTTCAGAGATCATCAGGCCTGTCTCCTTGGTTTCAAAGTGTGGGGCCACTACTTTGTTTTCAAGAGGCAAGACAGCCCCTGGCCAGACCTTGAAAAGTAGGCCACCCAGAACCTTGGGGGCATGACCTTCCTAGCAGAGTTGTAGGGGAAGGACTCCCAGCAAAATCATAGAGGTGGTACCCCTACCCCAGTGAGTCCTTGAGATGGGACTGAGTCAACAAGGCTTATTCTATAGCTTTAAGATCTAATGAATTTAAGGCCGGGTGCGGTGGCTCACGCCTATAATCCCAGCACTTTGGGAGGCCGCGGCAGGTGGATCATGAGGTCAAGAGATCGAGACCATCCTGGCCAACATGGTGAAACGCCGTCTCTACTAAAAATACAAAAATTAGCTGGGCATGGTGGCGCATGCCTGTAGTCCCAGCTACTCAGGAGGCTGAGGCAGGAGAATTGCTTGAACCCAGAAGGTGGAGGTTGTGGTGAGCCGAGATCGCGCCATTGCACTACAGCCTGGGTAACAAGAGCAAAACTCCATCTCAAAAAAAAAAAAAAAAAAAAAATGTATACAAGAATTTATACTATATTGGTTTTCTGGGAAAACTACTATCAATAATATATGATTAGTGTTAAATAGAATGATTCCTAGTAAGCATTTCATCACTCAACAATAATGCATGGGAAGCTGACTCAGGTAGATCACCTGAGGTCAGAAGTTTGAGACCAGCCAGGCCAACATGATGAAACCCCACCTCTACTGAAAATACAAAAATTAGCTTGGCATGATAGTGTGTGCCTGTAATCCCAGTTACTCCGGAGGTTGAGGCAGGAGAATTGCTTGAACTCATGAGGCAGAGGTTGCCATGAGCTGGGATCGAGCCACTGCACTGCAGCCTTAGAGACGTAGTGAGACTCTGTCTCTAAAAGCAAAAAGCAAAAAACAAAACAAGAAACAAAAAAATATTATTTAAAAAAACACAATAATGCAAATAAAAAGCCATGTAAACTAACAAGTAAAAACTTCCTCTTTTAAGCAATCAAAAATGCTTTGTCTTACCTTGACACCATATTTGGAATAGTTCATTTCTGTTAGTGTTGCTGGTCATAATCTGTCAGTATCTCCAAAGGCTACTACAGGAACATACAGGGCACAGACAACATGAACCCATCTAAGGAGAGAAGATATGATTTTTCTATCAAATCTTTTCATAAAGTTCCCACACAAAATACAAACATATAAAACACATGCCATCTCAAAATACTACTGAGAGAATTCTGTGATCAAATGTTAAAATCTCCCAATCTCAGGCACATCATTAAAAAAGATGAAACACCTACAGAATAATACTTAGTTACAAAAAAGGGACTGGAATTACTTTTCCAGCAGCTTAGCCCAAACTGAAAGCTAATAACTATAATTGCCTTTTACTTAAAATTCACTCCCTGCACTTTGCACTTATCTCCTATTCTTAAATATTTGTATAAAACTATTCCAGTAAAACAAAACATCATTTTCATATGCAAGGAAAGGTAGTCACATTCATTATTTTAAGCCCTTTGAGAATTAAGGATCCCAATTTAATGACTGTGAAGTTACTCTGCTGTAATTAGGTAAAATTTGTCTTTCTTGTTACTCTTTTCCTAAAAGCTACTGGGGGACTCTTTTTTTTTTTTTGAGACAGTCTTGCTCTGCCACCAGGTGCCAGGCTGGAGTACAGCAGCACAATCTCCTCTCACTCCAACTTCCTCCTCCTAGGTTCAAGCAATTTTCCTGCCTCAGCCTCCCAAGTAGCTGGGACTACAGGTGGGGGCCACCACGCCCAGCTAATTTTTGTATTTTTTAGTAGAGATGGGGTTTCACCATGTTGACCAGGATGGTCTTGATCTCCTGACCTCGTGATCCGCCTGCCTCAGCCTCCCAAAATGCTGGGATTACAGGCGTGAGCCACTGCGCCCGGCCAGGGACATATTTTACAACGATTTTTGTATGCAGCTTAACTTTCTTTCATATGTATGAGATGATTAATTTAAGCATTTGTTGTGGTGGGAGGGTATGGAGGCAATCTGTATAACCATTCCCTGTAAAAGTACGCAGGTAACATGCAATCAGTGCCCTGACATAAATGTTTACACAGTAACAGATAACTGTAATTAGTAAAAAACAGGAGATACATTATTTTTAAATACATGTATGTAAAATATATTCTTTGTAAGAACATGGTCAAGCATAAAGATAAAATTAATCTTTTTTTTTTTTTGAGATAGAGTCTCACTCTGTCATCCAGGCTGGAGTGCAGTGCCACAATCTCAGCTCAGTGGAACCTCCTCCTCCCAGGTTCAAGTGATCTTCCTGCCTCAGCCTCCTGAGTAGCTAGGATTACAGGTGTGCACCACCATGCCTGGCTAATTTTGTATTTTTAGTAGAGCTGGGGTTTCGCCACATTGGACAGGCTGGTCTCAACTTCTGAACTCAGGTGATCTGCCCACCTCAGCCTCCCAAAGTGCTCAGATTACAGGCGTGAGCCACCACATCCAGCAAATTAATCATTTTGAAAGAGTGTCTACAGTGGAAGGAGAATGGAAGTAGGGTATGGTTTTGGAAACAGACCAACAGAGTCCTTTTAAAGATTAGTGATAAATGAGTCTCATTAACTCAAGTTCAGGTTCAGAGGGTGATTAAAAATATATACATAGGGGGCCAGGCACGGTGGCTCATGCCTGTAACCCCACCGCTTTGGGATGCTGAGGTGGGTGGATCACCTGAGGTCAAGAGATCGAGACCATCCTGGTCAACATGGTGAAACCCCGTCTCTACTAAAAATACAAAAAATTAGCTGGGCATGGTGGCGCATGCCTGTAATACCAGCTACTCAGGAGGCTGAGGCAGGAGAATTGCCTGAACCCAGGAGGCGGATGTTGCAGTGAGCCGAGATCGCACCGTTGCACTCCAGCCTGGGTAACAAGAGCGAAACTATGTCTCAAAAAAAAAAAAAAAATATATATATATATATATATACACACACATATAAACATTTATTGTCCAGACATACTTCCTATGGAATTATGCATTCAATGTCAATGTTAATACCTCTTTTCAGAATTTTTTGCCTCTAAATTTTTTCCTTGTTTACTCTAGCAAGCATGAAAAACAACATAAGTTAGGCCAGGTGCGGTCGCTCACGCCTATAATCCCAGCACTTTGGGAAGCTGAGGTGGGCAGATCATGAGGCCTGGAGATTGATACCATCCTGGCTAACACAGTGAAATCTCATCTCTACTAAAAATACAAAAAAATTAGCTGGGGGTAATTTGGCACATGCCTGCAAGTCCCAGCTATTCAAAAGGCTGAGGTAGGAGAACAGCTTGAACCCGGGAGGCAGAGGTTGCAGTGAGCCAAGATCGCACCACTGCACTCCAGTCTGGGCAACAGAGTGAGACTCTGTCCCCAAAAAAAGGAAGCTAAATAGTAATGGTGATATACATTCTTGTCTTTCCTTATTTAATTGAAATGTTTCTACTTTCCCAATGAAGAACTCAATTGGCATTTAAGAATCAAAATCTGGCTGGGCGAAGTGACTCATGCCTGTAATCCCAGCACTTTGGGAGGCTGAGGCAGGCGTATCACTTGAGGTCAGGTGTTCGAGACCAGCCTGGCCAGTATCACAAAGTTCTGTCTCTACTAAATATACAAAATTAGCCGGGTGTGGTGGAGAGCACTTGTAATCTCAGCTACTTTGGAGGCTGAGGTAGGAGAATCGTTTGAACTTGGGAGGCAGAGGTTGCCGTGAGCCGAGATGGTGCCACTGCACTCTAGCCTTAGCAACAGACTGAAACTCCGTATCAAAAAAAAAAAAACAGAATGATCAAAATCTTGTAATTTACTTTCTTCTGCACTTTACTATTGTCACCGAATTCCTATAGTTACTCCCATTAAGTCAGAGCAGGTAATAATCCCCACTGAAGAGAGACGGAATTTCAGTGTGGGACTAGTACAGAGGAGCAAAAAAGTTCGAGAAGGGAAGTTAGAGGCTCTCACCATAGACTTGGGGGCCAGTGCACTAGGAATAACACTGTTCAAGTCCAAAGATATTCAGATGGAGAGGCTATAGATTCCATGGCATTGGGGAAATGGATCCTCATCTTGATTGTTTTGCTTTTCAGACTCCAGAAAATACCCAGATGATTTAATTCTACTCAGACCACTAAGTCTTTATCTTCAGAAAATATTACCACTAATCTATTATTACCTATCACTATACCCTCCAATTTTTTTTTTTTTAAAGATGGGGTTTCACCACGAGGGCCAGGCTGGTCTTGAACTCTTTGACCTCAGGTGATCCACCCACCTTGGCCTCCCAAAGCGCTAGGATTAGGCGTGAGCCACTGCGCCCAGTATACCCTCCAATTTTTATGTATGCGTCTTTACATGAAAGGATAATTCATTTGATAATCATTAGAAGGACTCAAACTGAAGATTGCCTAAGTTATTTTATCCACCTTCTTTAGGAAATAAACTATAGGTGTCTGCCATGCCAACAGTCCTCTTCAGGGGCAAGTGGCCCTATCAGGTACAATCTCCACGTTTATTTGGCTTTGCCTGTGCATCAACTCTAACTAACTAAATCACTCAACTCAGAAACCTGTGTCATTTTTCATTCTTTCTTCTCTTACTACATATAACCCTTCAGCAAGTTCTGACATTTTTCCTCTAATTGTATCTAAAAACCTTATATTTCTCTCCATCTCAACTACAAACAACTCCTCTAGGCCATCAATATCTTTTCCTTGGGCACTACAATTGCCTTTTATTTTTTAATCTCTTCTTTCCTTTGGTACTACAATTGCCTTTTTTTTTTTTTTTTTGAGATGGAGTTTTGCTCTTGTTACCCAGGCTGGAGTGCAATGGCACCATCTCGGCTCACCGAAACCTCCGCCTCCTGGGTTCAAGCAATTCTCCTGCCTCGGCCTCCTGAGTAGCTGGGACTACAGGCACGTGCCACCATGCCCAGCTAATTTTTGTATTTTTAGTAGAGACGGGGTTTCACCATGTTGGCCAGGATGGTCTCGATCTCTTGACCTCGTGATCCACCCACCTCAGCCTCCCAAAGTGCTGGGATTATAGGCGTGAGCCACCACGCCCGGCCTACAATTACCTTTTTTTAATCTCTTTTTTTCAAATCTCCCTACTTCCAATCTTATCTGCTGCTTTGTGTTTAAAGTAGACAAAAGAATAAGGCTTACTAAAAATGTAGTTGAACTTTTCTTAAAGTTTAATTAAAATAATCATTTAAATGTGAGAAAAACTGGTTATCAATATTTTATTCTTTAGATATAGAAACTTAATAAAGAATCAAAGAAAACGAACAGTAACAGTGAATATCTTTCACCCCATGTCAAAAGTCCTGAGGATGATGAAGAACTCATACCCAGTTTCAAGAACATCGGCTTATAATACGTCTTCCCAACCCAGAGGTAGAGTTAACACAAAGTAATCTCAGAGAGGAACAGAAACCTAAGGCTATCTGGGCATGTTTCCTCTGTGCAACCAAAAAGAAACTAAGTAGCACTGCTATCATTTATCAACTACTTACTATTCTTTCATTAATCAAATATTTACTGAGAGCCGACTATGCGCTGGCCATTGTAAATGCTGAAGATGGAACAACTAAACACTAAGACAAGAAAGTCCCTTCTTTCACAAGCTTGAGTCTAGTTACAATGAAGAAAATTAAAGTGCAACGAGACATTTCATGCACAGATAGGTGGAATACACATATTTTCTAATCAAACTGCTTTCACAGAACAAATGTAACTTAAAATCCTCTATTTTCATGTACTATGACATTGTAAATGCTCATCCCCCTCCTTCCATTATAAATGCATGGTTATGGCCGGGCATGGAGGCTCATGCCTGTAATCCTAGCACTTTGGGAGGCCAAGGCGGGTCGATCACCTCAAGTCAGAAGTCTGAGACCAGCCTGGCAAACATGGTGAAAACTAGACTCTACTAAAAGTACAAAAAGTAGCTGGGAGTGGTGGTGTACTCCTGTAGTCTCCACTACTCAGGAGGCTGAGGCAGAAGAATCGCTTGAACCCAGGAGGCAGAGGTTGCAGTGAGCTGAGATGGCACAACAGCACTCCAGACTGGGCAACAGAGCAAGACTCCGTCTCAAAAAAACAAAACAAAATGCATGGGGCTGGGCGCAGTGGCTCACGCCTGTATTCCCAGCACTTTTGGAGGCTGAGGCAGGCGGATCTCAAGGTCAGGAGTTCAAGACCAGCTTGGCCAATATGATGAAACCTCGTCTCTACTAAAAACACAAAAATTCCCTGGGCATGGTGATGCGTGCCTGTAGTCCCAGCTACTCAGGAGGCCGAGGCAGGAAAATCACTTGAACCTGGGAGGCAGAGGTTGTAGTGAGCTGAGATCATGTCACTGCATTCTGGCCTGGGTGACAGAGTGAGACACTGTCTCAAAAAAAAAAGGCATGGTTATATGAGATATCTGATCCACATGTAGCATGATACCGCATTCCAGACAGAAAGTGGGAAAAGAATGCATGCCCACTGAACCTGCCCCACCCCATCCCCACACTTTTGAAAAACTGCCTGACCAATCAGGCATGGTGGCTCATGCCTGTACCCCACCGCTTTGGGAAGCTGAGGTGGGTGGATTACCTGAGGTCAGGAGTTCAAGACCAGCCTGGTCAACATGGTGAAACCCTGTCTCTACTAAAAATACAAAATCAGCCAGCTGTGGTGGCAGGTGCCTGTAATCCCAGCTACTCAGGAGGCTGAGGCAGGAGAACTGCTTGAACCCAGGAGGTAGAGGTTGCAGTGAGCCAAGATCACACCACTGCACTCCAACCTGGGCAACAGTGAGACTCCATCTCAAACAAACAAACAAACAAACAAATATACAACAGAGAACTGTCTGAGAAGCCCAATCTAACAACTTTTACTTACATCAACAGGGGAAGCTAGAACATGTAGAGTTTGTTGTTGTTGTTGTTTTGTTTTTTCTTTATTTAAGCAGGGCAAACAAACAATATTAGGACTTTTATAGCAATAAAGAAGGGAACTGATACTGAGTCGGCCACATATGTGGCAAAACAACAGCATCTACAATTTAATATATTCTCAAATATCTTTCAATTATGTACGAAGTTAAAATATCAGTTAAATGAAAACATTAGATACATGTCAATATGTGCATATACAAGTGCATATATTTGTATGTATATGCGTATATATCTATATATGTATATAGGAGTACATAGGAAAAAACAAACTATGCATACAAGATGAACTGAACCATTTACTACATTAATAAGAGAAAATTACGAAGATATTTCCAAAGAGAAACAGAAGATTCCAAGTTACTAGATAAATCCTTTTAGGCATTTGCTAAGGAAAAAAAAAATCATGCCTTGGAAAAATAGAGAAAACTTAAAGGCACCTTAAACATGGCTTTTAGATATCAGAATCATTATTTCCTCTTCTCTGGGGAACCTCTCTTGGAGGACAGAAATGGGAAAGGAGACAATACACCTCCCCTGGGGCCCAAATGACAACGCGAGTTTACTCTGCGTTCCCCTCCCCCGGCAAGCGAGGGCTATCAAAGGAAACTGGGGCTACCAACTCAAACTCATTGTCATTGAAAACTGTCCTTTACTATCACAGGACTGAGCTATTTTCTCCTCTCACATATGACTATGTGTGACATTTGGTCAGACACACAAACACAGTCTCAACTCCAGGCACACACAGTGCTTCACTCACACACCCACCACTGGACACAAAGTCAAAAGCCCTCACCCTCTACGCTCCCACACAGTGTCACAACCACACAAGTACAAAGCTCCTTCTATCTGCACACAGACGAACATATGGTCACAGAGTCACAATCACACACCCACTGCGGGCAGGCAGTCACGGCAAACCCACACCCTCACACAGAGTTACGCAGTCACACATTAACAGTCCTAACACAGGGACTCACGGGATACCAGCAGAATCCTCCCCACATCCGCACACAGGGTGTCTGTCATACATAGTCACAATAACACACACACAGTGCCAGGATATACTGTCACAAAAATTACAATTTCACAACCGCCCTTCCTCGGCCCGTTCCGCCTGAAGAGACTTAATACTCAGTCTCAACCCCCGCAACCGGTTCTAGACGCTTCACCTCCAGCCTCCTACGAACCCAGGAGTCTCCAAGCCGACCTACTCAGAGCCCAGCATCTGGGTCGCGTGCATTTCTCCACCGAACCGTGGGCGTCACGGGGAGGGGCCGAGGGCCCGGCGCCTTCTGGGAAATGTAGTTCAGCGCCACGCCCGCGATGAGCAAGATGGCGCCGGGTTTGAGCCCAGCCAAAGGCATTGTTACCCTCATTCCCGAACCGTGCCTAACAGTCTCCTGGGGTTCCTGGCTTAGTATCGCACCATGGCTCCTACATGAAGTCTACACAGCATGTTTAAGCTGATCTTAACACTTGTGGCACACCACTACCCTCTCCCAGGGATATCGTAAACTAAGACTCGATTTTTCACTCCTCCCCCAACCAGGAAGACAATCCCCACAAGCTCTGGCAAAGGAAAGAAAGTTCGCGCGAAAAGCTGACAAACCGCTGAACCTTCTGGGAATTGTAGTCCACCCTCAAAAGAGTGGCACGGAGGACGAACCAACGTCCGGTTCTGAGCCCGGGCCTGACCGAGCCCAGGAGACCTCTGGGAGCGCTGCCCGCCGAAGGAGTGCGCAGGCGCGGACTCTCCGGCTCGCCATGGTGGTCTTTGTCTGCTGGTGAGTTGGGTTTCGGCTCTGTGGGACTCGGCTTTCTGGACGCTCAAACGCGCCAGGGACGCTTAATGGGAGGATTTGCTGTGCCTGCGACGGGACTGGGGAGTGTGAAGGGGTGGAATCGTCTCCTGTGATGTGCGGTGATCAGCGCTTGTGTGGCTGGGGCAGGCGTACTGTAGGAAACGGGTGGGTTCGCGGGCGGGGTGACCGAGGGTGTGAGGCGGAGGTTGAGGGTTACAGTTAGTAAGAAACTGGTTCCAAGTTTGTGAGGATGGACAGATGGCTTTGTAGGTAGTAACCTCTAAGCCTCACTTTTCTCATTTCTAAAATAATAAGGATGCGTTTTCTGGAAAATAGGAAAGGGAAAAGGCTAAGGAATTGAGCGGATAATTTTTAAACTTGATTTGTATATAAAAGCAGACCTGTTGTGGAGTAGAAAACAAAATCAGCGTTACCTTTCCATTATTTTTTAAAGAGGAAAGATTTCTGAAAAACTTGTTACTGGATGCCTGTACACCCAGTAGGCACTGACTTTTCTTAATACTTTGGAGAAACTTTGGTGCGGTTGCTTAGAGAAACCCTAAACTAAGGAATCTCTAAGAGGTAGTTTCCACTAGTGCAGACAGCACAGAATTGGGAAGCTAATTGTCCTCCCTTTAGTGCAGAGGTCAAGAAACTCCCTGATTTGTCAATGAGGGCAGCAATCTGACTTCTAATTTAATCAGGTTTTCCCAGCCTTTTGTCAATATAGGGGAAATTTTTTTCTTCTGTGTACAAACATAGAAGTATTCTGTCTTAAAGTATCTTGTCACACTTATGCTTAACATATTTTTCAATAAAATAAAAAAGTAAAGTAACAGGTTTTGAAACATACAAAAAAAGTAAAAGATACAAAGAAGACAGGACTTAGTTTCTGCTTTTTTCTTAACTATTGGTGTTTCCAAGTTTCTGGCCTTGGTCATCTTTTCACCTCTAAGTACTCCTATCGGCAACAACATTACACTGCCATGGCTTCATCTGACACAGATGACTAATAAATGTCTGTTTATATCGCAGGCTTGCCCTGAGCTCCTGATCCTTATTATCCAACTGCCCAGTGTGCAGTCCACCTGGAAGTTGCATAGGAACTTCAAGCTCTTTGTGTTTAAAGTGTCATACTGATAGCCCCTTCTTCCTGCTCTCTGCCTCCATCTGTTTCCCCTCTGTACCTGTTTCAGCAATTCATAGCACTGTCTAGCTAGGTTCTAAGGCTCTTACATCTTAGAGAAAGCTTCTGAGTAAGTTTGAGCCTTTCATTTGTCATATCCCATTACAAATTGTTAACCAAGCTTTCTTAGTACACATAATCATAAATGCATTTTATGTTTGCTGAATCAGTGAAACAAAAAAATGATGTTTGCTGAATCAGTGAAAGAGCATACAGTGAGCGCTCTGTATATGTAGGTTCTGCCTCCACGGATTCAACAAACCATGAATCAGAAATGTTGTTAAGCTTGCGATGGTTATGTCTGTACAGAACATGTACAGACTTTTTTTTTCTAGTCATGATTCCCTAAACAAGACAGTATAACAACTATTTGCAAGGCATTTACATTGTATTAGATATTATAAGGAATCTGGAGATGACTTAAAGTATATGGGAGGATGTGTATAAGTTATATGTAAATATACTTCCATATACTTTATTTTTATTTTTTTGAGATGGAGTCTCACTGTCACCCAGGCTGGAGTACAGTAGAGCAATCTCTGCTCACTGTAACCTCCACCTCCCAGGTTCAAGCGAGTCTCCTGCCTCAGCCTCCCAAGTAACAGGGGTACAGGTGCATGCCATTCATGCCCAGCTAATTTTTGTATTTTTAGTAGAGATGGGGTTTCACCATGTTGTCCAGGCTGGTCTCAAACTGACCTCAGGTGGTCTGCCCACGTCAGCCTCTGAAAGTTCAGGTATTACAGGCGTGAGCCACTGCACCCAGCCTCATATACTTTAAATGAGTATCTGCAGATTTTGGTATCTACAGTGATCCTGGAACCAATCCCCTGTGATATCAAGGGAAGACTATTATTATAGGATACTTACTATATTTAACTTCTCCTAGTTAACCTAAGTAAAATATTAGTCCTATAAATTTTTTTAGAGCTCTGACTTATAAATAACATCAGAATAACTTCCTGTATTTTTTTCCATATTACTCAAGATTGGTTACTTCATATTTATGAGAAAAGTGTTGTTATGGGGAAAATAATATTCAAAAATGTGACTTCAATCAGGAGCAGAGTCACAAGTGACACCTGCTCAAATGAACCTATATAGGTTGTGAGTGTGGATAACTCTGGCATCTTAGTCTCTCAGAGTTTCTCTGTAAATCCTGAAAATAAGATCCTGTTTCTCATTTTTGAAATGTGTAGAGCTTTTTTTTTTTTTATCCTTCTCTGAGGCAGAATCTCCCTCTGTCGCTTAGGCTGGAGTGCAGTGGTGTGATCTCAGCTCACTGAAACCTCTGCCTCCTGGTTTCAAATCATTCTCCTACCTCAGCCTCCCTAGTAGCTGAGATTACAGGCACCCATCACTACGCCTGGCTAATTTTTGTATTTTTAGTAGAGACTAAATGGGGTTTTACCATGTTGTCCAGGCTGGTCTCAAACTCCTGACCTCAAGTGATCCACTCGCCTCAGCCTCCCAAGTGCTGAGATTACAGGTGTGAGCTACCATGCCCAGCCATTGAAATGTGTAGAGCTTTTGAATAGCATAATGGGTCTGGCCTGAGATGCTATGTACAAAATACCCTTTTTTCCATTTGCTCACATGTTGGTCAAAGCCAAAGAGTCATCATTACTTTGTTCTTTTTTACAGGCCTGCTTCCTTGTACATCCGCAGGAGCTGCAAAACCTTTAACAGCTCTAAGGGCTCTGCCTGAATTCTGGGATGCTGCTTTGTTCCCCAACCATAACATCCACATCCAGTGTCATTTTTCCGTTCACAAGTTTAAAGTCAGCACTTAAAACAAGAACAACAATGGATGATTGAGAAAGAAATGTAAAGAAGGTTCTCTTTATGTGAGTAAGCGAGAACCTGGCAGGTATGAATGGGATAAAGGCTTATTAGAGTTATTCAATGAGAGTTTGCAGCCTCTGAGTTTTGTTTGTCTTTTTGAGCCTTTGTCTTTTAGACTGACTATTGCTGGGAATTCTTTAGATACCTAAATGACATTTGCAGACCTTCTTCCTGACCTCCTTTCTACCTGAATCTATACATCCCTTTTATCAGATTCTAGAGGACTGATTGCTCTTCTAAACGCTATTCTGGATGCCAGTCACTCTACATCATTTGCAGCCTCAATTTCATGATTTTTGTACAGCCTCAATTTCACTTTTCTCCCTTTCACTAATATTTTCCATTTTTCACTTTTCCCTGTATGCCTAGACTCATTTCCTTAAGCATTCAGTCCTTCATAGATCTGTTAGCTTTCAAAAACTGGCATATAAGTTCTTTATTTAAAATGTAATCATTCTATGTGCAACTATTATGTATCAATAAGAAAATCTTTCAGGCCGGGCGCAGTGGCTCACGCCTATAATCCCAGCACTTTGGGAGGCCGAGACGGGTGGATCACAAGGTCAAGAGATCGAGACCATCCTGGCCAACCTGGTGAAACCCCATCTCTACTAAAAATACAAAAATTAGCTGGGCATGGTGGCGCGTGCCTGTAGTCCCAGCTACTCAGGAGGCTGAGGCAGGAGAATTGCTTGAACCCAGGAGGTGGAGGTTGCAGTGAGCCGAGATTGCGCCATTGCACTCCAGCCTGGGTAACAAGAGTGAAACTCAAGTCTCCAAAAAAAAAAAAAAATACTATCAAAAACTAGCAAGTAGATGCTTTTCTTTACAATTTAGCTTTCTATCATTTTTTCTCCTTCCATTGTTATATTCCTCAGAATTGAATTTTGCTTTCTTACTCTCATTTTCTGATGTCTTTCTACCCCCAGCCATCATAGTCCAACATTCTGTTACCTCCTGCTTTTTAACAATATTGCAGGCTTGGGAATTATTGCTGATTTCCTATTAGTTCATTTCCCTGTTAATTTTAAAAAGAAATAATACTATTATTATCAAATTTTAATATGTATGCTTGATAGAAAATTTAAATAATCGGGTATGTCTCTTCATTCCTGGCCCTCAGTTCCCTGTTTCCCAGAAATAGCCACTGTTAGCAGTGTCTGCTGTATGCTTCTAAATGTTTGTGTTTTATTTTTCTTGTTGATGTTTTTTAGAGTCTCACTGTGTTGCCCAGGCTGGAGTGCAGTGGTGCGATCTTGGCTTACTACAACTTATGCCTCCCGGGTTCAAGCAATTCTCCTGCCTTAGCCTCCAGTAACTGGGACTACAGGCATGTGCCACCACGCCTGGCTTATTTTTATATTTTTAGTAGAGATGAGGTTTCATCATGTTGGTCAGGCTGGTCTCAACTCCTGACCTCAGATGATCCACCCACCTCAGCTTCCCAAAGTGCTGGTATTACAGGTGTGAGGCACTGCGCCGGGCCGATTTTTTTAATGACTGTATAAAAAGGCTCTCAGATACAGCAGTGACATGATTTGACTGTGAGAAGATTGCTGTGGCTGCTGTGTTGAGAATTGTAAAGAGGTAAAAGCTAAAGTAGTAAGACTGGTAAGGAGGCTGTTAAATAATCCAGGAAGACATGTGGCTTAGACCTTGGTGGTCACAGTGAGGATTGTCCAAAATAGCCAGTAAGTTACAAGGTTGTAAAGAGTGTAATCTGACAGAAAGAAAAGTGTTGTTTGAGCAACGAGGAGAATGCGATTGCTATTTAAAGAGATGAGAAGAATTTGAGAGGAATTGGTTTGGGAGCTGAAGCAAAGCTTGAATAGGGCAGGGTAAGTTAGCTCACTATTAGACATTGAAGTGGAAATGTTGAGTACTCAGTTGGATATTTGAATCAGTTACTGAGGAGAGAGGTCCAAGCTGGTGATTAATATTTTTTAGGCGTCTCAGATTCATGATATGTAAAGCAATGACACAAGACTAAGAAGTGCACTAATCACAGTAAAACTAAGTGACTATAATAAACCTCAAAATGTACCAGTTTAAGGAATGTAGGAATGGGTTTCTTGGTCATGTAACACTTACGTGGTGAGTAGTCCAGATTAGCATGCTAACTTTGGTGTTTGTGGTCCCTGAAGGATGTGGGTTCCTCCCAGGTTCTCTCTATTATTGGGTTGTGGTTGGAGCTGGATCAACAATGCATCCTGGTTTCAGCCAGATAGAAGATGGAGGAATTGCTCCTCTAGGACAGGAGTTCAGCAAACTTTTTTTATAAAGAGCCAGGTAGCCAGGCGTGGTGGCTCACGCCTGTAATCCCAGCACTTTGGGAGGCTGAGGCGGGTGGATCGCGAGGTCAAGAGATCGAGACCATCCTGGTCAACATGGTGAAACCCCATCTCTACTAAAAATACAAAAAATTAGCTGGGCATGGTGGTGCATGCCTGTAATCCCAGCTACTCGGGAGGAGAATTGCTTGAACCCAGGAGGCGGAGGTTGTTGTGAGCTGAGATCGCGTCATTGCACTCCAGAGCGAAACTCCGTCTCAAAAAAAAAAAAAAAAAAAAAGACCCAGGTAGTAAATATTTAAGTCTTTATAGGTTATAGGATCTCCATTGCAGCTACTCAACTCAAGCATTATACTGTGACAGTAGTCATGGACAAGAAAATAAATAAACGTGACCATGTAAAACTCTTAGTTTGCCAAGCCTGTTTTAACAAGTCACTATTTACACAGAATACAATTAAGAGTTTCCTTGCCATTAGAGCATTTGGATTACATTTTGAAAGTACTTTTTGTTTTATTTTTTGAGACAGAGTCTTGCTCTGTCACCCATGCTGGAGTGCAGTGGCACAATCTTGGCTCACTGCAACCTATGCCTCCCAAGTTCAAGCAGTTCTCTTGTCTCAGCCTCCCAGGTACCTGGAATTTACAGGTGCCTGCCATCATGCTTGGCTAATTTTTCTATTTTTAGTACAGACAGCATTTCACCATGTTGGCCAGGCTGGTTTGAACTCCTGACCTCAAATGATCTTCCTGCCTCATCTTCCCCAAGTGCTGGGATTACAGACGTGTGCCACTGCACCTGAAAATATTTCTTAAACATGAGAATATTTCATTTTCTTAGATTCTGAGAATATTTTTTAATATTAAATAAAATATTTTAAAATACTAAAAAATATTTTTAAATATGAGATAAATATTGAAATAACCATTTTACTTGGTATTCTGATGAGATTTTCTAGTTCAGTTCAGCATTGTCATTTACAGTGTTAAAAATTCAATTCTGATAAGTATGTATGAAGGAGATAGGGTTTTAATTACAAAGAAGTTGTAATTTTTAATTTTTTGGGGGTTGTTTGGAATATAGTAGCATGTCATGATCTGTTATGCATAATACCAATTTTCATGAATTTTTAAAAAGTAATAATAATACCATCATCTAATAAACATTTAGTAAAAGTTGCATGCTAAGCCGTCTACACCTTGGGCTTAAGGGAGCAAGAGCTCTATTTTTTTTCTTCTTTATTTTATTTATTTATTAAAAAAAAATTTTTTTTTGAGACAGGGTCTCACTCTGTCACCAGGCTGGAGTGCAGTGGTGCAATCTCAGCTCACTGCAACCTTCGCCTCCCAGGTTCCAGTGATTCCCCTGCCTCAGCCTCCTGAGTAGCTGGGAATACAGGTGCCTGGCACCAAGCCCAGCTAATTTTTTATATTTTTGGTAGAGGCAGAGTTTTACCATGTTGGCCAAGTTGGGATCTTTTTAAATGGAATGTTCTTTGTACTCAGTGGGCCTGTTAAGTATGTAGACTCATGATTTATAATTCTGGGAAGTGTTCTTTATTAGTTATTTGAAAATATCCTACATTCATTTTTCTTCATACTTTCTTTGGAACTCCTTTAGTAGATGTTGAGCCTTCTGGATTCTTCCAGTAACCCACTAATGTTCCAATCATTACACTCTTTCTTTCTCCCTTTCTTCTTCCAGTCTTCCTTTTTTTATTCTAGGAGATTTTCTAGACTGACTTTCTCCAACATATTGAATTTGTAAGATCAATATCATATTGTTTATTTCTAAAACACTTCTTTATAGAACACTGTTAATATTTCATTACAGTGATAATAGTAATCTCCTAGCTTTCCATGATATTAATTGTAATGTTTTATGTGTAAGTTTTTCTGCTCTTTACCTTGTATTTTGTTTGATCTAGCTTTGATGTTAGGGCTTTCATCAACTGTTTTCTGATCTTTAGCTCTGCATTAATTTGTGTACATAAGTGGGGCCTGTAAAATGCTGGTTTTCACTGTGCAGCAATCACTGATACAGATGTGTTGCTTTTGATGATTCCAAATGTTAGTATATGTAGGTGTTCTCATGGTCTTCTCATTTTTTTAGTAAACAATTCTTCCATCATCTGACACCTAGCAACCACCAGCATTCTCGGAATTTAACAGAAGAGCCTCTGTTACATGTATAAACTTTTACTTTTTGTTCTCTTCTTACTATGATGCTCTCATCTACTTTGGTCATCACTAAATTTGGAGCCTCTTGGTTTTGTGTGGATGATAAACTTCACATTTCTGTCTAGCTAGGAGAGTTCAGGGCATTAGCTGGTCCTTTCACCGTCATTTTACAAGCCCTGCCTTCTACTCTTGTCCAGTCTCTCTGTTGATAGAGCCTATCTGTTAATATCTGTATTACAAATGTGTGTAGGTGGCACCTACATCTGCTGGCTTTTCTTTAAAGCACTCAGTTCTGCTGTTAATTTACAGTTCTCTATTTGCTTTCTTTCCAAAATTTCCTAAGAATTTTTTTTTTAAGAGACACAGTCATACTCTGTCATCTCGTCTGGATTGCTGTGACATGATCATAGCATACTGCAGCCTCAGACTCTTGGGCTCAAGAGATCCTCCTACTTGAACCTCCCAGGTAGCTAAGACTACAGGTGTATGCTACCACACTGGCTAATTTTTTTAATTTTTGTAGAGATAAGGCCTCACTTTGCTGCTCAGTCTGATCTCAAACTCATGGTCTCAAATAATCCTCCTGCCTTGGCCTCCCAAAGTGCTGGGATTACAGGAATGAGCCACTATCTCTTGCCCTCATAATACTTTTTTCCACTGATGTCTTCTTTTCTTTTTTGAGACGGAGTTTCGCTCGTTACCCAGGCTGGAGTGCAATGGCGCGATCTCGGCTCACAACAACCTCCGCCTCCTGAGTCCAGGCAATTCTCCTGCCTCGGCCTCCTGAGTAGCTGGGACTACAAGCACGCGCCACCATGCCCAGCTAATTTTTTGTATTTTTAGTAGAGACGGGGTTTCACCATGTTGACCAGGATGGTCTCGATCTCTTGACCTCGTGATCCACCCACCTTGGCCTCCCAATGTGCTGGGATTACAGGCATGAGCCACCGTGCCCGGCCCACTGATGTCTTCTTAACCTTTGAGTTCTTGTAAGTATGTGCCCCTCTTCACCCTTTTACTGTCATTTCAATGATGTTTCAGGAAGACATAGAAATAAGCACCTCATTTAAACTTTCCTGTTCAGTTTATTTATGTCCTATCTTCCTAGGCTCTCCCAGTCTTTTCAGTATTTGTGCTTTCCTCCTGTTTCTCACCTATTTATGTTTTAAAGACCAAGACCAAGTCTTGCTCTGTCACCCAGGCAGTGGCACGATCATAGTTTATTGCAGTCTTCAAATCCTGGGCTCAAGCAATCTGCCCACCTTAATCTCCTGAGGACTACAGGGGGACTACAGGCTAGTTTTTAAATTTTTGGTAGAGACGGGAGTCTCACTCTTATACCCAGGCTATTCTCAAACTCCTGGCCTCAAGCAATTTTCCTGCCTCACTCTTAAGAAGTGCTGGGATTATAGGTGTGAACCACCACACCTGGCCTTGTTTTCTCCCATTTTACAGATTTAGGAAGTGGGCTGGGTTACATTTAAAAGTAGTTAAAATTATACATACCTAAGAACGTCATTTGTATTTGAACTTTATACTGAGAGACTAGGCTTGGATAAAGAATCTATTTTACAATTACATTTCTGAAATTATATTAATAATGGGAAACTTCACAGGTGTTAGTGATGTTATGTTGACAACAGCGATAACCTAATTTATTGGATGCTTATTACATGCCAAGCACTATATATTATATATGTATTAACTCTTTTTCAATGATGATTTTTTTGTAATTCCTTTTAGAAGAAGCCCGGGAAGTTTATAAACAGATAAAGACGCAACATGAAAGACTTGTAAGTTAAGTCTCATCTTTCTCTGAAAATACAGACTGAGGAAAAGTTTAGGAAACGTATTTCCTCTGAATACAGTCGTTGCTTATTCAAGACTACCCTTCTGTGTATGGGACTCAGTTTAAAAGAGTTTGAAACATAACTTATACACAATTTATACTTAAATATGAGAGAAGCTCTATAAGAATCATTAAGAATATAAAGAGACGTTATATTTTATACCTTTTCATAATCATCTCATCTCAGGGTAATCAATGTGAGAAAAATCTTTCTTCATAAATTGTTAGATACCTGAGAATTAATATTGAAAATACACCATATGAATTTAGTGAACGTGGGAAAGCTTTCATCTTTATTACATCTCATTTAGTACTAGGGAAATCTCCTTATTAAATTCACATTCATGATAGGAATGTTGGAAAGTCTTCAGCATGAATCAGATCTCCTTCAGCATGATCAAATTCATACTGAAGAGAACCTTTATGAATGTAATGAATGTAGAAAAACCTTTAGCCTGGAGCAAAACTTCCTAGAACATAAGAAAATGCATACTGGAGAGAAATCTCATGAATGCACTGAATGTGGTAAAGTGTTCTCTCGAATCTCATCCCTTACTCTACACCTCAGAAGTCACACAGGGAAGAAAGCATATAAATGTAATAAATGTGGAAAAGCCTTCAGCCAGAAGGAAAACTTCCTTTCTCATCAGAAACATCATACTGGAGAGAAACCTTATGAATGTGGAAAAGTTTCTTTTCAGATGCCAACCCTCATCAGACACCAGAAAAATCATACAGGAACCAAACCCTATGCATGTAAGGAATGTGGCAAAGCCTTTAACGGCAAAGCATATCTCACTGAGCATGAGAAAATTCATACTGGAGAAAAACCATTTGAATGTAATCAGTGTGGAAGAGCCTTTAGCCAGAAGCAATACCTCATTAAACATCAGAACATCCACACTGGAAAGAAGCCCTTTAAGTGTAGTGAGTGTGGAAAAGCTTTTAGCCAGAAGGAAAACCTTATTATACATCAGAGAATCCATACTGGAGAGAAACCTTATGAATGTAAAGGGTGTGGGAAAGCTTTCATTCAGAAGTCAAGCCTCATTAGACACCAGAGAAGCCACACAGGAGAGAAACCTTATACATGTAAGGAATGTGGGAAAGCCTTCAGTGGCAAATCGAATCTTACTGAGCATGAGAAAATTCATATTGGAGAGAAACCCTACAAATGTAATGAATGTGGAACAATCTTCAGGCAGAAGCAATACCTCATTAAACATCACAATATTCATACAGGAGAGAAACCCTATGAATGTAATAAATGTGGAAAAGCCTTCTCTCGAATCACATCACTTATTGTACATGTGAGAATTCATACGGGTGATAAGCCTTATGAGTGTAAGGTCTGCGGGAAAGCCTTCTGTCAAAGCTCATCTCTTACTGTGCATATGAGAAGCCATACAGGTGAGAAACCCTATGGTTGTAATGAATGTGGGAAAGCCTTTTCTCAGTTCTCAACTCTTGCTCTGCATATGAGAATCCATACTGGTGAAAAACCTTATCAGTGTAGTGAATGTGGGAAAGCTTTCAGCCAAAAGTCACATCACATTAGACACCAGAGAATTCATATTCATTAAAGTTCTCTGAATGCCTTGGATTTAGCAAAACGTTCAGCAGATTTTACACTGAATAGTATATCGGAAAATTCATTTTACATTAAAGTGACATGAATGTGAGAAGTCCAGCAGCAATTCAAAACTTAAATACTGTGATGTCTATTAAGTATTATACAGAAAACCTGTACCCCCAAAACTCCCACAACAAGCATTATTGAGGCTCTACTTCTAGGAGTATTCTCATTGAAGTTAGATCTTGTCATGGACACTGCTTACTGTGTTCCTGGAAGGCCTACCAGATGCATTAAGAAATAGATATGAGGCCAGGCGTGGTGGCTCACGCCTGTAATCCAAGCACTTTGGAGGTCAAGGTGGGTGGATCACCTGAGGTTGGGAGTTCAAGACCAGCCTGACCAACATGGTGAAACCCTTTATTTAAAAAAAAAAAAAAAAAAAGATAGATATGAGACATATAAGGATTTGAAATTGAAACAAATTTATCATTTTTGTGATATGTTTTGCTACATGTATGACTTGTAAAACTATAAACATCAAAATTATTTGTTGTTGAAACAAAATTGAGACTGAGACAGAATATTGAATTCAGAAATATGTACATGAATATAGGGGGAACTGCTAATTGAATAAGGTGGTATCCCAAATTGGGGGGAAAATCATGGATTACTTAAAAATTAATTGACTTTTCATATGGAAAAATAATAGATCTCTACCACCATCATACATTAAAATATTTTTCTTAGGAATTCTAAAAGTATTGAAGACTAAAATGCAAAAAGCAATATTTAGTCATATAACAGTTTTATAGGAAAATGTTTTTAAAACCTTGGGGAGGAAAGAATTTCTAAAACGTTCAGAATACATAGCAGTTCAACTCTTGAGTACAGTAGTCCCTGATTTTCTGCAAGGGGTAGACTCCAGTTCCTCCAGTGGATACCTGAAACCCAGATAGTACCAAACTCCATGTTTTTTCATATATATATTTGGAGTCCAAGGAGTATATATATATATACCTATGATAAAATTTAGTTTACAGATTAGATACAGCAAGAGATTTAAAACAATAATAAATATATAATGGAAAAATTACTACAATATACTGTAATAAGTTATGTGAATATGATCTTTCTCTCAGAATACCTTATTGTACTGTTGTCAACCATTTTTGAACTGTGGTGACCATGGGTAACTGAAACCATGGAGGGCAAAGCTCTGGATAAGGGGGAACTACCATATATATCTAAGAAACACATGAACACAGGGAGTCATATACTGGTCTGTAGCTGTATAATTCATTGCAGCATGAGTTACAGTAGCCAGAAATTGGGAAACATGCCTGTCTCCCGTGACATAATGGATAAAATGTGATAAGAGTAACATAGAATACTCTCTAGCAGTTAAGTGACAAATGAAGTTTATATATTAACAGATTTTTTTTTAAAAAACCATTAAAGTGAAGAAAAACGATGAACATATTGTAATGATGCTCCTGTGAATTTGAACAAAATCAACACTAACCAGCCCTAGTACTAAGCACTGGTTATGGATAAATTATGTAACACTAAAGAATGGATTGAAAGGGTACACACTCTATTCCCAAAAGTGGAGTGGTTGCCTCTAGGAAGAAAGGAGGTGGAAGGGAAATGTGACCAAGCATGCTAGTTAAAGGATACTTCAATTTTGTATTTATTTCTTATTAAAAAGAAATAAACATTCTAAGTAAACATAAAATGTTAATTCTGGGTGGTGGTAATATTTGTGTTCATTCTATCATTCGTGCTGTTTCCTTAAACTTCTGAAAATTCAAAAGCTCCAGATAGGAGTGAGGAAGCTGTACATGAAACATTATAATGGACTTACATTCCCAGTCAGATACTAATATTCTATAGAAGATATTTCTGAAATATCTTTAAAATATGAAATAATTTTTAATTGGAGTGGCAACTTAAATGCAATTAAACTAATGTGTCACAAGAGTAGTCTACATAATCTGTACGTAGTTCTAATCTGTACATAATCTTGGAGGATATGATTTGCAGCAGGTTCATTGGAGCACATTTAAGGATCATTTTATTAAATATATGCACAGACATGGAGACAATTTGTTTTTACTAAAACATTTATGAGAAATTTTAATACTCTGCACAACCAGTATTGGTATTGAAAATTAGCCACTTTGGCCGGGCGCGGTGGTTGAAGCCTGTAATCCCAGCACTTTGGGAGGCCGAGGCGGGTGGATCACGAGGTCAGGAGATCAAGACCATCCTAATCAACATGGTGAAACCCCATCTCTACTAAAAATACAAAAAATTAGCTGGGCATGGTGGCGCATGCCTGTAATCCGAGCTACTCAGGAGGCTGAGACAGGAGAATTGCCTGAACCCAGGAGGTGGAGGTTGCAGTGAGCCAAGATCGCGCCATTGCACTCCAGCCTGGGTAACAAGAGTGAAACTCCATCTCAAAAAAAAAAAAAAGCCTCTTTGAAAATGAGAAAACTGTGTCACTCTTTAATTTTTTTTAATAAGCCATTGAGTAAAACATTAACTTCTGGATTTCACCTTCACTTTTAGCCTGCAGACTAAATTGCTTTCTTATTTATGTCAGACACACTCAAGTCAATCCCAACCCTCTTGTTACCTTGGGAAGATAGTGCTGAAAAAGGGGATCTCCCACCTAAACAGTGTTCTCTTATTTGAAGCCAGTCTTTTTGAGAATTTGTTTACTTGGATTTCTTTCCACAATAACTTGACAGAGAAAGCTTCTAATGATATTTTTGAATGATGATAAAAATGAGTATACAGCATTTAAACCTTAGACTGATTTTAAATATATTAATTTCTTTTAAACTCAATGCAATGTTAATATTATTATAGCACTTCTTATAGCATTTCTGGAGGTTGGTCTTGAGATAAAATTGAAAATTACTGTTGTTGATTTTCTGAGGTAATGTACCAGAATACCCAAATAAAATATATGTATGTGTACATGAATCTAAACTGTTCTATTTCTCATTTTGCTTTACTTAATCTTTCATATTTTTTAAGTGTTTTGCCCATGTACTAGTGCAGCTTCAAAGTCACCAGAATAACTAGGACTCAAATTCAGACCGAACCAGGAGGACTATCTTTTTGAGCCTTGAGTTGGCCATGGTCCTGGACCCAGCAAAAAGAATTATTATGAAGGTCAGAGTAAGATGAGCAATTGTTACATAATATTCTCTAATACTGTGTACTATAAATTTGTTCAGCTGCCCGCTTGTCTATTCAGTTTGCTTATTTGCCAGTATAAACAATTCTACAATAAAAATTCATGTAATCATCCATAAATTTCAGTTGTTTTTATTTCTGTGGGTCAGATTTACAGGGAAGGGATTGGTAGATCAAAGGATATATGTTACTTAAATATTTTTAATAGATATCAGAGTCAGGTCCAAAGGAACAACATATCCTCTGCAATAGATCCTATGATACTACTTAATTGTATGCTGCTTTGATGAGTATAAACTTCATTTGCTCCCAGATTTGCTTTGTGAATTTTCATATTGTTAGCTCATTTTTCCGTAGGATTATTTATCTTATTGCCCCTCCTCCCCCCGTTTTTTTTTGAGACGGAGTTTCACTCTTGTTACCCAGGCTGGAGTGCAGCGGCGCGATCTCATCTCACCGCAACCTCCGCCTCCTGGGTTCAGGCAATTCTCCTGCTTCAGCCTCCTGAGTAGCTGGGATTACAGGCATGCACCACCATGCCCAGCTAATTTTTTTTTTTTTTTTTTTTTGTATTTTTAGTAGAGGCGGGGTTTCACCATGTTGACCAGGATGGTCTCGATCTCTTGACCTCGTGATCCACCCGCCTTGGCCTCCCAAAGTGCTGGGATTATAGGCGTGAGCCACTGCACCCAGCCCAAGATGGGGTTTAACCATGTTGACCAGGATGGTCTCTATCTGTTGAGCTCGTGGTCCACCCGCCTCGGCCTCCCAAAGTGCTGGGGTTACAGGCGTGAGCCACCACGCTTGGCCAAGATTATTTTCATACAAAATTGCTCTCTTTTCCTTTTTAATTTCCTTACCAAAAACGTATCTTCATATTCATAACTTCACATCACTCTGCCCTATTGGCTCTTTTCTTTCTTTTTTATGAGATAGCAGTCTTGCTCTGTCACCCAGGCTGGAGTGTAGTGGCGTGATCTCAGCTCACTGCAATCTCCACCTCCAGGGTCCAACCAATTCTCTGCCTCAGCCGCTTGAGTAGCTGGGATTACAGGAGCCTGCCACCACTCCTGGCTAATTTTTGTACTTTTTTTTAGGTTTCACCATCTTGGCCAGTCTGGTCTTGAACTCCTGACACTGTGATCTGCCTGCCCCAGCCTCCCAAAGTGCTGGGATTACAGGCATGAGCCATCCTGTCTGGCCTTACTTGTTCTTTTCTATCTGGTTTCTATTTCCTTCCTAAATCTGTATTTTGAAACAAACTTTCAACAATCTCTGAATTAGACCTTTTCTCAGTTAAGAAAACATTGTTATGCTTATCATACAATTTTTCTAATCAAAACATTCTCTTTTTTTGGCACAATTTCTATTACAGAATTATATAAGAATTTTAACTCATAGGAAACTTATGAAAGCCTAGGAAGCAAGAAATTTTAAATGTTTGTCACATATATGTGACAGTGTGAGAACCATTTTATAATTTTTAGAAACATACTTCATAATTTTTCTGTGTATTAATAGACCACATATATGTAGTCTTGTTTTTTTGTTTTTGATGTTTTGAAACAGGATCTAGCTCTTACCCAGGCTGGAGTGCAGTGGCAGTATCATAGTTCACTGCAGCCTTGAAATCCTGGGTTCAATTGATCCTCCCATTTCAGCCTCCTGAGTAGCTAGGACTACAGGGACACAGCATCATGTCTGGCTAATATTTTTTTAATTTTTTTTGTAGAGAGAGGGTTTCACTTTGTTGACTAGGATGGCCTCAAATTCCTGGGCTCAAGCAATCCTTCTGCCTCAGCCTCCCAAAGTGCTGGAATTACAAGCATGACCCACCACACCTGCCCTATTTAGAGTTTTTATAAGATTTAAAATGCCAAGAACAAACATTTATGTTCAACAATTTATATTTCGGCTTTTAATTTTAATTTTATTTTATTATTTTATTTTTTTTTGAGGTGGAGTTTCACTTTTGTTACCCAGGCTGGAGTGCAATGGCACAGTCTCGACTCACCGCAACCTCCACCTCCTGGGTTCAGGCAATTCTCCTGCCTCAGCCTCCCGAGTAGCTGGGATTACAGGCATGTGCCACCATGCCCAGCTAATCCTCAATCTGTGCTAGAGGGATACGTGGCTGATAACAGGCACTGTGGGAAGGCATGCGGGTTCAGAGCATGGAGGAGATCCTCGAGGTGGGCTCGGGAGCGGCCCTCATCCATGGGGAGACACTAGGCCTCATGGGCTTCGGTCTCATGGGGCAGGCGGTTGCAGATCGAGACAAGGCCTTTGGATTCAGTGTCATATTTTATGACCCCCTACTTATAGGATGGGATAGAGCAGTCTGAGGGCACGCAGAGGGGACCCTGATACACTGAGATCCTGAAGGATTTGCTGTATCAGAGTGACTGTGAGTCCTTGCACTGCAGCCTCAATGAACATAACCACCACCTCATCAATGACTTTATCATAAAGCAGATGAGGCAGGGAGCATTCCTTGTGAACACAGCCCGTGGTGGCCTGGTGGACAAGAAAGCCTTAGCACAGGCCCTCAAGGAGGGCAGGATATGAGGGGCAGCTCTCACCTTGCACAAATCGGAGCTCTTTAACTTTGGTCAGGCTCGGTTAAAAGATGCACAGGATCTCATCTGCACTCCTCACACTGCCTGGGACAGTGAGCAGGCATCGCTGCAGATGACAGAAGCAGCTGCCACCGAGAACCAAGATCCACTGAGCCAGCACAGGTTGCATCCCAGAAAAATTAAACTGGGAACAAGGAACTCCTGGTCCCATCAGCACCTTGGTCAGCAATAGACCTGCAAGCAATTCATTCCGAGCTCAATGGTGCAACATACAGCTATCCGACTGGCATCATGGGCATGGCTCCAGGGGGACTTCCTGCAGCCATGGAAGGAATCATCCCTGGAGGCGTCCCAGTGACTCACAACCTCCCGAGAGTGGCACATTTTTCCCAAGTTCCCTCTCCCAACCAGTCCACAAAACATGGGGACAATCGAGAGCACCCTAGTGAGCAATAGCAGAGAATGCTGGAAGGTAATCATTCAGATACACTTGGGACCAAGAGACAGTGAAAAACAGAAGAACTAAGAAAAAAAAATTACGGTCTTTTAAACTGATTCCAGACATACGCATCATTGATGTTGCAGTGTTAAAAGTACAAAAGCTAGAAAACTGAAGACGCCTCTGCTTATGGGAGCGCTGAAAGACTAGGATGTGATTTCTTAACAACCAACTTCTGTTCTTGTATGTTAAGTTTTTCATCTGCACATCGAATCACAAAGAATAAATAGAGGTTTTTTCTTTATCAGTCCCTTGGGCACAGCAGGTCCCGAATATTCTTCTTTAGAGTATTGCATCAAGAGTTCAAACATTGGGCTACGGTGGCTCCCACCTGTAATCCCAGCACTTTGGGAGGCTGAGGGTGGTTGATCACCAGAGGTCAGGAGTTTGAGACAAGCCTGGCCAACATGGTAAAACCCCGTCTCTACTAAAAATACAAAAATTAGCCGGGTGTGGTGGTACACACCTGTAATCCCAGATTCTTAGGAAGCTGAGGCAGGAGAATTGCTTGAACCTAGGAGGTGAAGGTTGCAGTGAGCTGAGATTGTGCCACTGCACTCCAGCCTGGGCGACAAAGTGAGACTCCGTCTCAAGAAAGAAAAAAAGAAGAAATTCAAGCATCAAAATAAAAAATATTAAGAGGAAATCCCCATTCTGTGACTCTAGTCCCTTCAGTCCACAGGGGCTGTTTACCTCTTTTTGCTAGGATCATATTACTACAAAATGGGGAGAAAACTGTTTGCTGTGGTAAATACCTCACACATAGCATTGAAGACAGTACAGGCTCCTGTGAGAAGCGTCTCTCACATCTGCTTCTGGTGTTGTTTTGTTTGAAGAAGAAGTCTTGCTCTGTTGCCCAGCCTGGAGTGCAATGGCAAGATCTGGATTCACTGCAACCTCCGCCTCCAGGGCTCAAGTGATTCTCCTGCCTCAGCTTCCTGAGTAGCTGGGATTACAAGCATATGCCACCATGCCCAGCTAATTTTTGTATTTTTAGTAGAGATGTGGTTTCACCATGTTGGCCAGGCTGGTCTTGAATTCCTGACCTCAGGTGATCTGCCCACCTTGGCCTCACAAAGTGCGGGATTACAGGCATGAGCCACCGCGCCTGGCCCAATTAATAGTTTCAACTGTGTAAATCATTACACTAGATTCCCACTCCCCATTCTCATTGCCAGTATTCCTGGACTTAAACTGGCTCTGGAAATTCTCTAAACATAGTGAATTCTATTTTCTATGACCCCATAAATATTGGGCATTGTTGTGATATGTGAGAATATGAACCCATGGTTGGGAGAGTCGGTGTCATGCATGCAGTCCTTCTACCTCTTCTTGGCCACATAAGAATGACATTTGGCCTGGAACATTTCCTTACCAAGAGATACAGAGCCCACATGGGGCTGTGCAATGTGTGTTTTAAGCTAAGTGATATTACAGAAGAGTAAAAAAGTTTTTAAAAATGTAAATGTTTATAAAGTAAAAAAGTTACAGCAAGCAAAGGTTATTATGGAAGAAAAAATAAATGTAGTGTAGCCTAAGTTTACACTGTTTATAAAAAGTCTACAGTGATGCATGGTAATGTCCTAACCTTCACATTCATTCACCCCTCATTGACTCTCCAGAGCACTTTCCAGTTCTGCAGGCTCTATTCATGGTAAGTACCCTGTACAGGTGTACCAGTTTTTACTTTTTATACTGTTTTTTACTGTACCTTTTGTGTGTTCAGATATGTTTAGATAAATACTTATCATTGTGTTACATACAGTAACATGTTGTACAGGTTTCTAGTCTAGGAGCAACAGGTTATACCATATAGCCTAAGTGTTCAGTCAGCTATACCGTCTAGGTTTGTGTAAGTACACTCTATAATGATGAAATTATTACACAGTGATGAAATTACCCAACAACTCATTTCTCAGCATATATCCTTTTTTTGTTTTTGCGTTTTTTTTGAGAATGAGTCTCACTCTGTCGCCCAGGCTGGAGTGTAGTGGCGCAATCTCGGCTCACTGCAACCTCTGCCTCCCGGGTTCAAGTGATTCTACTACCTCAGCCTCCCAATTAGCTGGGATTACAGGCACGCGCCACCACGCCCGGCTAATTTTTGCATTTTTAGTATAGACGGGGTTTACACCGTGTTGCCCAGGCTGGTCTCGAAACCCTTGGCCTCCCAGAGTGCTGGAATTACAGGGGTGAGCCACCGCCCTCAGCCAGAATTTGTCCTTATTTTTAAGCTATGCATGCCTGTATATATAGGTCAAAAGCAGTCAAATATTGGCCATTAGCTATACTTAGTCCAAGTACACTAAATAATTGCAGGAGAAAGTGAAACTCTCCTTACTCCGTTTCCCACTCATTTATGACAAAACACACAAAAGTCAGAATAACACCTGCCCTTTGCAATTTCAGACTCCTCTCTTCTTCTCCAAACCCGTCCCACATTTGGGATACCTTCCCTTCGACCTCCCCAATCACATCGCAGGTTCTTGGTCTACACCCTTTTTGCCTCCCCAACCAGCTTTGAGTCTTACAACCCCTGGTTCCATAACCTCTCTGCACTAAGGAGCACCAAACAAAATTCACGCCAGTACAGTGGCCAAAATAGCAACCCGGGATGTTTGCGCCTGCGCATTCTGGGTGCACAGTACTCCCAGAAGTCTCCGGCCGGCGGCCCAGCGCCGGCTAATATGTGAGAGGAATTAAGATGACTTTCCAAGGGTCCAACCGCCTTCCCAGCTCCGAACTACATCTCCCAGAAGGCTCAGCGGTGCGGTTAGCTTCCCGTGCTGACCTGTCTCTTTCTGAGGCTGTCCAGCGCCTAGGGACAATAGGACGGGTCCAGGAGCTAAGCCCATCTCAAAACACTTCGGAGTGACTTTCTTTGGGGGGCCAGGGTCTGAGCCTGAGGCGGGGCTCCATGAGGACTCTGGGGCGTCCGCCGTTAGATGAGGGGCGCGATCCTTTCAGCGGGGCTGACGCTAGGCGCGGTCAGGTATCCTGACGATCGGGAGCCATCTTGTCCGGCCCTGATACGTCTCTAACTACATCTCCCAGAGGACTCCTCAGTATGACTGTGCTTCTCGCGGGAATTCAGCCTCCAAGTCACGCGCTGGCGGGACCCTCAGGACTTCACCAACAACTACCCTAGTGCCAGGGAGGGTTCTGCTGCTTCGGGAGCTCGTAAGGCCTAAGGTGAGGAACCTGGGAGAGGGCGGGGCCCGGGGCCGAGCCTCGGCCTTGTGCGTCGTTGGAGGTGAGGTTGAAAGTGTGCGCTTGCGTCTCTGTGGAGGTGTGTGGTGAGTGATCGCGCGATTGTGACAGGCTCCTCTTGTGATGAGTGTTTCCAACGCTCACACCGTGTGCAGCACGGCCTCTGAGACTGGCTGTTGGTGTGTGTGAGAAGGAGCGGGACCACGTGCGGCATTGTGTGCGCGGCTGTGGGGAGCTTGTGGCTGCTCGAATGTTACCGCGTTTGTCCCCGTAGTGGGGTGGGACTGTGTCGCCGTGTGACTGTGTGCAGAGCTCAGGTGGGGATACCTGCGAGTAACTGCATGTTTCTATCTGTGTGTGTAGCTGTGGTTAGTGTGTGATCGTGACTGTGACCGGGTACAGGTGTGCGCCGACTGACAGTGTGGTTGTGACTGTGAATGTCTCCTCGGTGTGCACTTGTGCTTGTGTGATCGATAAGGGCCCTTGCGTGTGCGACCCTGTTGCTTTGGGTGTGGATTGTCTGTAGCTGAATTTCCCCATGGTGGGGATGTGCTCAGGTTTGTGTGGCTGGATAAGTCACACAATGTAAGGTTTTATCACTTATGTATACTTTAGGCATTATACTCCAGTTTTCCCGTTTTAAAACTTTATATGAATGTTGTCATACTGTCTCCGGTTTATTTTTACAATTCTGTGAATCATCCCTATTAGATAAAATAGCAGTTCATTCAATTTTTTTGCTATATTGTATTCTCACTTTTGAAGTATACCACAATTATTCATCCTTTCTAATGATGGACGTATTAGTTATTTATAGTTTTTTTATTTTATAAACAACACAGCCACAAACATTCTTTCACATGGGGTACACATGCTTGAGTTTATTTACCAGCAGAATTGCTGGTCCACATGATATCTTCCACTTTACTAAACAGTGTCAAAATATCTACCAGAGTGGGCGGACAAATTTGTACTTGAACAGCAATGTTTGAAATATTTTATTGCTCCATATCCCTACCAAAACATAGTTCCGAGAGTTAAAAAAAATTTTTTAGGCCAGGTGTGGCGCTCATGTGTGTAATCCCAGCACCTTGCCAGCCCAAGGCTGGAGGATCGCTTGAGGCCAGGGGTTGCTGGAGACTAGCCTGGGCAACATAATGAGACCCTGACTCTACCATAAATATATTAATACATACATAATAAAAAAATTTAGCCAAGCATGGTGTCTGACACCAATAAGTTCTAGCTACTTAGGAGGTTCAGATACGAGGATTGCTTGAGCCCAGTAGTTTGTAGCTGCAGTAAGCTGTGATCACACCACTGCCCTCCAGCCTGGGCAACAAAGCAGGAGGGTGTTGATAGAGCCTATATAAAATGTGCAAATCTTAAGTGTACAGCTGTGTAACACTCCTAGATCTATATAAAGAACTTTGCCACAAAGACCTGAGATGGTTTCCTCATGCCCCTTCTCAGTTGTTTCTCCCCCACAATCTATTCAGAATTATATGATCATTAACTAATTTTACCCATTCCTTTTTTTTTTTTTTTTTTTTTAAGACAGAGTCTCTCTCTTGTTGCCCAGTCTGGAGTGTAATGATGCAGTCTTGGTTCACTGCAACCTCCACCTCTCAGGTTCAAAGGATTCTCCTGCCCCAGGCTCCCGAGTAGCTGGGATTATAGGCACCAGCCACCATGCCTGGCTAATTTTTGTATTTTTAATCAAGACAGGGTTTCACCAGGTTTGTCAGGCTGCTCTTGAATTCCTCACTTCAGGTGATCCATCTGCTTTGGCCTCCCAAAGTGCTGAGATTACAGGCGTGAGCTAGTGTGTCCAGCTGTTTTACACATTCTTGAACTTTATGTATATATGGAATTATACAGCATGTACTGTTTTATGCCTGGCTTCTTTGTTCTATATTATGTTTGTGAAATTCATTCATGTTGTTCAGTGTAATTATACTTAGTTCTCATTACATTGGGGATATATTGCAGTATATTAGTTAATTACATTGTTGATAGATATTTGGGTAGTTTCCAGTTTGGGGCTGTTACAAATGATGCTGCTGCTGTGAACACTCTACCATGTTTTTGGTGAACACATGAAGGCTTTTGTCCAGGATTAACACTTAGGATTGGCATTGCTAGATCATAGGGTAGGCTAATGTTTAATAGATACTACCAAGTTTTCATGTGGTTGTTCCAGTTACCCTCCATCCAGCAATGTATGAAATTTCCAGTTGCTTCATATCCTCTTCATAATTTGGTACTGTTAGTATTTTAACTATTTTATTGGTTGTGTGATGCAATGTCATCATAGTTTTTTTTTTTTTCTTTTGAAACAGAGTCTCGCTCTTTCACCCAGGCTGGAGTGTAGTGGTGCGATCTCAGCTCACCGAAACCTCTGCCTCCCAGGTTCAAGTGATTCTCCTGCCTCAGCCTCCCAAGTAGGTGGGATTACAGGCAGCTGCTACCACGCCCAGCTAATTTTTGTATTTTTAGTAGAGATAGCGTTTCACCATGATGGCCAGGCTAGTCTCAAGCTCCTGACCTCAAGACATCCACCCGCCCCAGCCCCCAAAGTGCTGGGATTACAGGTGCCAGGCCAAGATCATGTTGTTTAATTCACTTGCTAATTATAAGAATCTGTTGATTATTTAGGATTTTCTATTTCTGCAACTTATCATCTGTGAATAATGATAGTTTTATTTATTTATTTATTTATTTTGAGACGGAGTTTCGCTGTTACCCAGACTGGAGTGCAATGGCACAATCTCGGCTCACCGCAACCTCCGCCTCCTGGTTTCAAGCAATTCTCCTGCCTCAGCCTCCCGAGTAGCTGGGACTACAGGCACGTACCACCATGCCCAGCTAATTTTTGTATTTTTTTAGTAGAGACGGGGTTTCACCTTGTTGACCAGGATGGTCTCGATCTCTTGACCTCGTGATCCACCCGCCTCAGCCTCCCAAAGTGCTGGGATTATAGGCGTGAGCCACCGGATAGTTTTATTTCTTCCTTTCAATCTTTATACCTTTTATTTCTTCATCGTACCCCACTGTACTGGCCAAGCCCTCTAGTACATTGTTAAAAAGAAAGATGATAATACACATTATTTTTTTTTCCTGGATTCAGGGGGAAATTTTTCAGTGTTTCAACATTAGGTGTAATATTAGCTCTAGGATTTGATTTTTTTCATACATACAAGCTAATACATTAGCCTGTTAGTTTCATGAATGTTTGCAGAAAACATGAGACTCCTGGATCAGAGACAAAGACTTTATTACTCATGGCACAGCAAGCAGCATAGACATCAGCTTTCATCAGTTCCTCTTTTTCTCAGTTCCCATGGGGACAGCATGATGGTCCACATGGATGCTACTCATGCGGTACATGGCCATACCCACTGAGGAACACTGAGCCTGGATAATCTATTGCTTTTATAGTCCACAGTAAGCAAGCCTGCTGTTTGTGCTGTTATCTCATCTCTCAAGGTTATCAGTTGCATAAATAACCCTGGGAAATGGCCCAGTTAAAGAGTAGTTAGAGACTTGCATTCTAGGCATACCCAGCAAGATGTGTAAGAGTGTAAGAGACCTGCAGTGACCGTCTTTCCTAACAGTATGTATTTTGTAGATGCTACTCATTGAGTTGAGGAAGTTTTTCTTCTTACTGCATAAGCCTTTTTTTTTTTTTTTACATTAATGAGGGCTGAATTTAAAAGAGAGGAGCAGATCCACCGATGCAAAAATTCAGCCTGGCCAGGCGCGGTGGCTCAAGCCTGTAATCCTAGCACTTTGGGAGGCCGAGGCGGGTGGATCACGAGGTCAACAGATTGAGACCATCCTGGTCACTTGGTGAAACCCCGTCTATATTAAAAATACAAAAAATTAGCTGGGCATGGTGGCGCGTGCCTGTAATCCCAGCTACTCAGGAGGCTGAGGCAGGAGAATTGCCTGAACCTAGGAGGTGGAGGTTGTGGTGAGCCGAGATTGCGCCATTGCACTCCAGCCTGGGTAACAAGCGAAACTCTGTCTCAAAAAAAAAAAAAAAAAAATCAGCCTGGATGGCTGCCCTCCAGGACAAAGAAGAGGAGTGTTGAGAATGCAACAAGCATGGTATGGAGATGTTGAAGTGGGAGTGTTTTATGCCATTCTGCTTGGAAGGTACAGCATTTGAGGACATCCCTTTAACCAGAGGAAGGCCAGGAGGAGAGACCAGAAAGGTGGGCTCAAAATGAGGAATACAGGAGAAGGAACTCTGTTTCCAGATCTTTCTGGATTATTTTTGACTCTTTAATATCTAGTACAATGCCTGGCTACTGCATATTGGTTATTTGGTTGATAAAAGAATACCAAGAGCTTAATATGTAATAGTAATAATAATATCAAAAGATGCATTCAGATTTTAAGGAAGAGACACTTAGATTACTTTGGTTTTTCATCTGGGGAAATGCAGTGAGTGCTTATGGGTAGAGGAAGCCATTAGATAATTGATAACATGGGGCTACTTTCTGGGTGGTCAGTTTTACATGAAATAATTGATGAATTGTTTAATGAACAAGAAGCTTAGTGCATAGAGAATAATATTCACTGCTGTTTATAGTTTGTATAATTTTAAGTTTATTAAATTCTTGTATCTAATAAGCAAAACACCAAAATTTTCTTTTATGTATATATATATATATATATATATATTTTTTTTTTTTTTTTTTTTGAGACGGAGTTTCGCTGTTGTTACCCAGACTGGAGTGCAATGGCACAATCTCGGCTCACCACAACCTCCTTCTGGGTTCAAGCAATTCTCCTGCCTCACCCTCCCGAGTAGCTGGGATTACAGGCACGCACCACCATGCCCAGCTAATTTTTGTATTTTTAGTAGAGACAGGGTTTCACCATATTGACCAGGATGGTCTCGATCTCTTGACCTCGTGATCCACCCGCCTCGGCCTCCCAAAGTGCTGGGATTATAGGCGTGAGCCACCGCGCCCGGCCTATATATATATTTTTTAAAAAGACGCAGTTTCACCATGTTGGTCAGGCTGGTCTTGAACTCCCAACCTCAGGTGATCTGCCCGCCTTGGCCTCCAAAGTGCTTGGATTACAGGTGTGAGCCACCACGCCTGGCCACCAACATTTTCTTAAACATTGAAACACTGATCACTAATTCAGTTCTTCCCCTTAAACAATTTAGTCTTCCTTTTAATATAGTATTTTAATAATTTAATAAAATAATTTATTTTAATTTAATAAAATAATAAGTATTTTAATATAACTTATTCTTTTGGGCACTTTACCATCTTAAAGTGAAGATGTTTATAAAAATTACACACAAGACCGGGTGCGGTGACTCACACCTGTAATTCCAGCACTTTGGGAGGACAAGGCGGGTGGATCACCTGAGGTCAGGAGTTTGAGACCAGACTGGCCAACATGGTGAAACCCCATCTCTACTAAAAATATAAAAATTAGCTGGGTGTGGTGGTGGGCACCTGTAGTCCCAGCTACTTGGAGGCAGAGGCAGGAGAATAGCTAGAACCTGGGAGGCAGAGGTTGCCGTGAGCCGAGATTGCGCCATTGCACGCCAGCCTGGGTGACAGAGCAAGACTCCATCTCAAAAAGAAAAAAAAAGAATATACACAATTGGCCAGGTGGTGGAGGGGCTCACACCTGTAATCCCAGGACTCTGGGAGGGCAAAGCAGGCAGACCACTTGAAGCCAGGAGTTGGACACCAGCCTGGCCAACATGGTGAAACCCCGTCTCTACTACAAATATGAAAGTTAGCCAGTTGTGGTGGCACACACCTGTAATCTCAGGTACTCGGGAGGCTGAGACAGAAGAATCACAGGAACGTGGGAGGTGGAGGTGGCAGTGAGCAGAGATTGCATGGCTGCACTCCAGCCTGGGTAACAGAGTGAGACTCTGTCTCAAAAAAAGAATACACACAATTGTTATAAGTTGTATTACTACACTTACACTTAGAAGCTATTCTAAAATATCATTGATGTGAGTTTCGTCTATTTTTACATCATTTTATACTTTTAAATTCCTTCCTATTGTTACTATTATTAATTTCAGAATCTTCCTAAGGTTTAGTAGTATTTTTTATTTTCTGGGTTTCAGTTATCTTAAGTCAAAACCCATTAACCCCAAAAGTCTTCTCAAACTAAGCAAGCAAGTTGTTTTTGGTTAGCACTTGCAACCCGATTATACAATCCAAGTACACTGAATACTGGATTAGCCCAGGCATATCCATACTTCAGATGTATATAATATTTGAACAGTTATAATTTTAGGAATTAATTGTTAAGAATTCATACACAGGTAAAATGACATATGCACAAGGATATTTATTGCAGCATTGTTTTGTTACAGTGAAAAACTAGATAAAGCTCAAATGATGATTGGCCACAGATTGGTTAAATAAATAAAGTTATATCCATTTAATAGACTACAGTGTTGCTATTAAGCCAGTTATGTAGCACAATACGTACTAATTGGGACCTCATTCCAGGATATATTAAGTAAAAATAGCAATGTGTGTAAGAAGCTAAGAAGCATGTACAACACAATTTTAGTTAAAAAAAAATCTTTATATGTGTGCGTGTGTGTATACAAAAATGTATTCTCCTAGCCATAAGGAGTTGCTCTAATCCATCCTGCTCCAGTTATAGCCTGGTATCTTTGAAGCTAGGGATGATAGAGAGATTTGCTCATTCTCTTCATTGATACCCCATAAATGTTTCTAAAACATGAACAGAAGGGAAATGATCTTCTGGGCCAGGAGCTGTGAGGAAAGTAGGGTCTTATCTATCTTCTTTTGCCTCTCCCAGCTCTACCCTTTTCCAAAAGAAGAGCCAAGAGAAGGTCCTTTTCTACAAATATCAAAGCCATGGCTCAGGTGAGATACTGTTTCCTTTTGCTCAGATAGAGTGATTTTTACCTCTAGTACCTGTAAACATTTGCTTTCCTCATTATAATGCTTTTTGATGTTAGAAAGAAAAACACCTTTCAAAAGGTTTGGTTATAAGCAATGCCAGAATTTTGCTGTAAAGGAAAGGATCTCTAACAGGCCAGTTCATAGAAAAGAACTGATTAGATAATCATTGTTAGAAAATTTACCTTTTTTTTTCTTTTCTTTTTTTTAAGATGGATTCTCTGTCTTCCAGGCTGGAGTGCAGTGGTGAGATCTTAGCTCACTGCAACCTCTGCCTCCTGGGTTCAAGCGATTCTCCTACCTTAGCCTTCTGAGTAGCTGGTATTACAGGTGTGGTATGCCACCACACCCAGCTAATTTTTGTATTTTTAGTAGAGAAGGGGTTTTGCCATGTTGTCTAGGCTGGTGTCGAACTCCTGACCTCAAGTGATCTGCCCATTTCAGCCTCCCAAAGTGCTGAGATTACAGGCATGAGCCACCACGCCCAGCCAAAAATTTATATTCTTAAGTCACAGTTAACTATTAGTCACTCAAGTGGTTGAATAACAAATTTCTCTGAAGAAGTTTTAATTAGATTAATGTTCATCAGAAAATCATCTATCAATTTCATCCAGAATACTTACTTCTAGGCCGGGCATGGTGGCTCACGCCTGTAATGCTAGCACTTTGGGAGGCCGAGGTGGGTGGATCATCTGAAGTCAGGAGTTCAAAACCAGCCTGGCCATCATGGTGAAAAACCCCATCTTTAAAAAAAAAAAAAAAGATATTAAGAATTATGTAAGTAATAATGGTCTGACTCAGATCAGTTTGGGGATAATTTTTTTTACACTGTTTTCCAGGGTCCTGTTTCAGGAATAGGACATGCATTTCTTCTTAAACAGCTTGTCTCCTCTCCAGTTCCCCCTGCCTTTTTTTTTTTTTTTTTGAGACAGAGCCTCACTCTGTTGCCCAGGCTGGAGTGCAGTGGCACAATCTCGGCTCACTACAACCTCTGCCTCCCAGGTTCAAGTGATTCTCATGCCTCAGCCTCACAAGTAGCTGGGATTACAGGCACGCACCACCATGCACAGCTAATATTTGTATTTTTAGTAGATATGGGGTTTCACCATATTGGCCAGGATGGTCTCGATCTCTTAACCTCGTGATCTACCTGTCTTGGCCTCCCAAAGTGCTGGGATTACAGGTGTGAGCCACCATGCCCAGCTACCCTGCCCCACCCCACTTTTAGACAATGTTTACATACTCATTTACAAAGTCCTTGGGCATCTCCTATCTCAGACTTTTACCAGAAATCCTGATAGTATAGATATGTGTTCCCCACATTGAATTAATGAATCTAACTTGCTTGGACAGTGATTTGATGGGATGAAAATAAGAAATTAGGGGCAACTCATAGGAAAAAGCCCCGATTAGCTCCAAAGACCTGGGTTTTGCAATAGGAAAACACGTGCTCTGGTTTTGTTTGATTTTAGTCTTAGTACATGGCACATTCTCCTGGTTAATGAGCCTTGTATGTCTGAGAGTGTGACTAGTGGTTGGTACAAAGCTCTGATACCTCACTAAGCATCCATGAAAAATTGAAATCAGTGGTCGAATGTGGTGACGCACACCTGTAATTCCAGCGTTTTGGGAGGCTGAGGTTAGTGGTTTGCTTGAATCCCGGCAACCAGCTTGGACAACTGGGAAAACCCTGTCTCTACAAAAAACACAAAACTCAGCCAGGCATGATAGTGCATGCCTGTAGTCCCAGCTGCTCGGAAGCTGAGGTGGGAGGATCACCTGATCCCAGGAAGTGATGGTTGCAGTGAGATGTGATCATACCACTCCACTTCAGCCTGGGTGACAAAGGAAGACCCTGTTTAAAAACAAAAACAATGATGTAAGTAATGTCAACAGTGAAACTGAATCGTCCTTCACCAGTTTTCTGTCCCTTAGTTATAAGGGGAATTTACAGCTGTGCAGTAAGTGGTTATAAATAAGGTTGGGCCAATGTTGGGGAGGTCTTTAAAGATCACCTCCAGCCTGAATTTCTAAAGGCAAAAGAATAGATGTCTTTTATAGCCTTATAATAGAATGTTATTCAGTGAGAAACATATACTTATGAATAGCATTTGTTGTAATAAGAAACATTTCTTATTATATAATAGTCTGGCATAGGAATGAGTCAGAGTCTTAAAGTATATGCAAATATAATTTTCTAAGGTACAATATTTTAAAAAGTAATTTTATATATGTCTACAACGGAAGTAGTTCAGTTTTGGTTTTGTCCCATCACCAGTCCCACTCCAAGAGGCCACTGCCCTCAACTCTTGAAGACTGGTTAATTACCACTTTTTGATAAACTCACTTTAGTCATGATCTCTTGATTGATTGTAAAGTTAAAAGGAACACTGTATTCCCATACCGCAATAACCATCATTTTTCCTGATGGTTATCATATCACCATTTTTGGTTAAATCAATAGTATACACCTTATTATGGCTGCAAATATTATTCTCTGCCAAGTGAGCTCATGGCTTTGTTCTGCACAACCCTTCATTTTCCTGGGGTCAACTGCTTTCTCCCCAATTTGCTTAGTAATTTCTGTGTTTATATCCAGAATCTCCAGCATCACTGCCAATTAATATGTTTTTCTCTTGTCAGACACATAGTTCCTTTTGATGTAGAGACTTGCTTCCCCATTTCATGTTTCTTTGTTCCCATCTGGTCTAGTTTCCTCTCTAGTCTGGCTGCACAGCTTTCCTGAGACTTTACCTACTTCCTGAATCCTGTGTTGTCTTCTTTTTTTGTTTACTCCCTTGTTTTTGTGGAGCACATTCTCTAGAAGTTTCGGAAGAAACTGTTGAGTCTTTGGATGTCTACAAATGTCTTTTCTCAACACTCAAAACAGAATGATAGTTTGGTTATGAAAGTCTAGGTCAGCGTTTATTTTCTCCATTAGAATATTGAAGAATTGTTCTTACCATTTCTCACTTTTAGAGGTGTTCTTGAGAATTCCATTGCCCGTCTAATTTTTTTTTTTTTTTTGAGACGGAGTTTCGCTCTTGTTACCCAGGCTGGAGTGCAATGGTGTGATCTCGGCTCACCGCAACCTCCACCTCCTGGGTTCAAGCAATTCTCCTGCCCCAGCCTCCTGAGTAGCTGGGATTACAGGCACGCGCCACCACGCCCAGCTAATTTTTTTGTATGTTTAGTAGAGACGGGGTTTCACCATGTTGACCAGGATGGTCTCGATCTCTTGACCTTGTGATCCACCCGCCTCGGCCTCCCAAAGTGCTGGGATTACAGACGTGAGCCACCGCCCATCTAATTTTTGATGCCTTTTATATGACCTGCTCTTCTCTCTGGAGGCTTTTAATGTCTGGCCTTTATCCCTTATTCTGAAATTTGACTCTCAGCTATTTGGGAAAAGAGGGGCAGAAAGAAGATCACACGTATCATTGATTTATTATATGACAGGTATAGTGCGAGGCATTGCATATACAATTTCATTTAATTGGGAAAGCCCTCTTAGCTGAATTTTTGTACGTTCCCAATCTTGTTTGAGTAATGGAGGTATCCCACCATATTCAGCAGTTTCATTTAGAGGAAACAGAATGACATAGGAATGCAGTGATTCAGTTGTGCTTATTTGTTTACAATCCTCCACTGTGTCCCAGACATCCATATGCTCACTATATTTTACTTCCTCTACCTTAATCTTTTTCTTCTCTCTTTCCTTCACAAAAAATACTTTTTTTGATTAATCAAGTCATATACATGGTTATTGTTCCAGGAGTCAGTGATGTTCAGTGATGTGTCCATAGACTTCTCTCAGGAGGAGTGGGAATGCCTGAATGATGATCAGAGAGATTTATACAGAGATGTGATGCTGGAGAATTACAGCAACCTGGTTTCAATGGGTAAGGACATCTGTTCATAGTAATTTAGATTCTGCCCTTGGAAGGTCTACTTCCTCCAATGTGAAATGCTCACCTGCCTTTTCAAAACCAATTGAATTTCAACATCCTGTTCTTACAGGAATGTTCTGAATATTGCAAAGTTGGAAAAAGGAAGCTGCATTGTGTTTTGGGGGATGTTTTACATCTTCTGTTCATAAGTTCGCTGTACCTTTCTTTGACTCTTCTCATAATATCATGTCTGTCTTTATAACGAAGGGACTGGATTTGAATTCTAGGATGTTCTCACGATAAATTTGTTTTGTTACTTCTTTTGTAAGCAGGGCATTCTATCTCTAAACCAAATGTGATCTCCTACTTGGAGCAAGGGAAGGAGCCCTGGTTGGTTGACAGAGAGCTAACAAGAGGCCAGTGGCCAGGTAAGTGAGGCACAACAGGTAATGCCCAATTTGGCCACAGTAGAGAGACTGCATCTTTTAGATGCTATCTGGGAACCTCCCCTCAAAGGCTTTTGGCCTGTTGTGCAAACAGAAGACCTTTTCTCTATGAGCTTTCAAGTGATCCTACCTTTCCCCTCTTACCTAACACACTTTGCCTGCTTTTCTCTTCTTTTTTTTTTTTTTTTTTTGAGATAGAGTCCTGCTCTGTCAACCAGGCTGGAGTGCAGTGGTGCAATCTTGGCTCACTGCAACCTCCGCCTCTCAGGTTCAAGCAATTCTCCTGCCTCAGCCTCCTGAGTAGCTGGTATTACAGGCAGGCACCACCACACCTGGCTAATTTTTGTATGTTTAACAGAGACAGGATTTCACTATGTTGGCCAAGCTGGTCTTGAACTCCTGATCTCATGTTCTGCCTGCCTCTGCCTCCCAAAGTGCTGGCATTACAGGCGTGAGCCACTGCACCCAGCCACTTTTCTCCTCTTATACTTCCCTCTCAATTCTAACCAGCTGGTGCCCTCCTCCACCCTCTCTAGTGATATTCCTGTCTATCCATATTTTGGATCCATTTCCTTCCTAGCTTCTCATCCTCCTTTGTATTTAGTCTAATAAAAGCATCACTGTCTCCAGAAATAGATTTTTTCCTACACTGCCAAAGACTTATTTTCTTTTACTAAGATTTTTGGAGTAGGGGTTTATGCCCTCATTTATTCATTCATATATTTTTTTTACCAACATTTACTGATTTTTCTAACATGTATGAGGCACTCAACTAGTTGCTGCAGAGTTTAAAAAAGGAATAACAATTTCAGAACTTACTGCCTAGTAGAAGTACTAGAACATGTCTACAAATAACTTCTACAAAGTAGAACAACCCTAAGTGAAGTTAAAATAGGGAGCTTAGCAGAAAATGAGGGCAAATGAAGTAGGAGTTGATCCACATAGAAGTCACAGGGGAAGATTTGGGTGTGAGCATCGTTGACGTTAGATAGTGTTGGAAATAAAGGGCATGTGTCTCCATGGAAAACTCAGAAGAGGCAAAGAGAGATTTGGTCTGAAGGAGGAGGAACAGGACAGCACATTCATTCATTCAGTTTATGTTTCTGGAGTGCCTATGGTATGCCCAGCACTGTTCTCAACACTGAGGTTACAGTAATGACTAGAACACATGTGATCAGGCGTGGTGGCTCACCACCCAGCACTTTGGGAGGCTGAGGCGGGTGGATTGCCTGAGGTCAGGAGTTCAAGACCAGCTTGGCCAACATGATGAAACTCCATCTCTACCAAAAATACAAAAATCAGTCGGTGTGGTGGCATGGGCCCGTAGTCCCAGCTACTCAGGAGGCTGAAGCAGGAGAATCACTTGAACCCGGGAGGCAGAGGTTGCGGTGAGCTGAGATCACGCCACTGCACTCTAGGCTGAGCTACAGAGACTCCATCTCAAAAAAAGAAAAAAACAGAGCATACATAATCTTTATTCCCTCAGTGTAGGGAGAGAGATGAAAATAGATGAATATATGACTTATAAGGTAATAGTAAATACTCCAAAGAAACATGAAGCAGAAGAAGGGAATAAAGGATGCTTTTTATGTGAAGAGGCATGAGAAATCCATGATATTTGCCTATCTTACCAAATGATAGGGTAATATTTAGGCAGAGACCCGAAGAAGCACAGTAGTAAGTCATTGTAGGTACTGGAGGAAGCCCACTCCAGATAGAGGAAGCCAGACCTTCAAGGGCAAGACAGCTGTGTGTTGGCTGTGTTTGAGGAGTAGCCCCAGAGGCCAGTGACTGGAGCGGTGAGAGCAGAGGGGTACGTGGGTGGGAGATGAGATCAAAGAGGCAGGAGTGGGAAAGAGTGGGTCAGTTTATACTGTCTGCCACACAGGCCATGGGAAATCTTTTCATTTTAAGAGAAGTTATCAGAAGGCTGTGCACCTAGAAATTGCTTGATGCAACTTACATTTTTGTTTTGTTTTTGTTTGAGATGGAGTCTTGCTCTGTCGCCCAGGCTGGAGTGCAGTGGCATGATACTGGCTCACAGCAACCTCTGCCTCCTGGATTCAAGTGATTCTCGGGTGTCAGCCTCCCAAGTATCTGGGATTACAGTGACCCCCCCCAATACGCCTGGCTAATTTTTGTATTTTAGTAGAGATAGTGTTTCACCATGTTGGCCAGGCTGGTCTTGAAGTCCTGACCTCAAGTGATCCTCCCACCTTGGCCTCCCAATGTGCTAGAATTAAAGGCTGAGCCACTGCACCTAACTCTGATGCAACATATGTTTTAAAAGGATTACCCTACCTGCTTAGTAGGAGGCAAGGTTAGAAGCAGAGTGGCTGTTTAGCAGGTTTTCATAGTAGACTGGTTGAGATACATTGATGGCTCAGAGACTATTGAAATGTTATCAGTGGTAGTGGAAGGAAGTGGTGGTTTGAAATCTTTTCAAGGAAGAGATATCAGGATCCAGTCTTGGAATATAAGAGAAAAAAAGAAGTCATGCTTTTTAGGGAAAGCCTATGGAAGAATGGGCTTTGTAATTTCTGAAATGGGGAATGAGTAGATTTGGGGGTTGCAAAGTCAAGGGTGGGTTTGCTTATGTTAAGTTTCAGGTGCTTATTGGACACAGCATAGATGTCATGCAGGCAGTTCAGTATAGAAGTCTGGAACTGTGAGGTCAGATCAGCATTGGAGGGAAATTTAGATAGCCTTCAATAAAGAGATACAGAGTCTTGTGACTGGATGAAATATCAGAATAAATACAGCAAGGACAGAAACTGGAAGCACCCTAATACCCAGAGGTTTACAGCAGGAGAACATATGGCAAGGAAATGTAGGCTGAGCACACAGCAGGATAGAAGGTAAACTCAGGAAGAAGAGTACCAAGAAGATATGACCATGAAGATTAGATAGTTGGTAACACTTTCTACGTTTACGTTCTCATATAATTCTGTGTTTTTTCCTTTAGTGAAGTTCAAGTATTTATACTTTCATATTTAGGCTGTTTTCTAATCAATGCTTGTTTGTAAAAGCACCATTCTTTATGCATATATGCATTATTTATGTAAAAGCACAACTTTATACATATAAATTTTTCTGTGATTGCTTAGGATAGATTTTCAGAAACAAGGTATTTCTGAAGCTTTCAGACATCACAATGTGTTTGGTAGTATTCTTCATTGTACTCTTTAAGAATAGTTAATTTTTATTTTCAATAAATGTGTTGGTTCATTTATTTGACAAGTCATAGAATGTTGTTTTTCATTGTGAAAATTTTCAAAAATACGTGCCACTCATCTACCCCTATTGTCACACAAATATTTTCTTTTTTTTTGTTTTGTTTTTGAGATGGAGTTTTGTTCTTTTTAGCCAGGCTGGAGTGCAATGGCACAATCTCGGCTCACTACAACCTCTGCCACCTGGGTTCAAGCAATTCTCTTGCCTCAGCCTCCCGAGTAGCTGGGATTACAGGCGACCACCACCATGCCTGGCTAATTTTTTTGTACTTTTAGTAGAGACAGGGTTTCACCATGTTGGCCAGGCTGGTGTTGAGCTCCTGACTTCAGGTCATTCACCTGCCTTGGCCTTCCAAAGTGCTGGGATTACAGGTGTTTGAAAATATTTGCTGTACCTGGCCACAAATATTTTTAAACAAATCCAAATTGCATAATCTCATTATGTAATTCTTTAAAAATATGGACATTTTCTCCCTTATATAACTTTAATGCAAAGTTATATAAATGTTACAGTGATTTCTTGGTATATTGGACTGCTTTATTGTCATTATATTGAGTACTTGTGAGAGTGAACATTTTCACCATAGTGTGATAATTATCTTTAACTTGTTCATTCATATGTTTTACATTTTTAATCTATTACTGTGTTTATTCTTTCAGTTTTTATGGACTTTGCAAAATAGTAACATTTACCTGTCTATTGGTTTCCACGGGGTGCTTTTACTTTTTTTAAAAAAACAAGGTCTCACTCTTGCCCAGGCTGGAGTGCAGTGGCATGATCATGGCTTACTGCAGTCTTGACCACCTCCTGGGATCATGTGATCCTTCCACGTCACCCTCCTGGGTAGATCGGACTATAGGCACATGCCACCACACCTGGCTAATTTTTTGTAGAGACTGGGTTTTGCCACATTGCCCAGACTGGTCCGAAACTCCTGGGCTCAAGTGATCCCCTGGCTTCAGCCTCCGAAAGTGCTGGGATTTACAGGTGTGAGTCACTGTTCCCAACCTAGCTTCCTAATTTTTTAGTTTTTTTAAGACAGAGTATAGCTCTGTTGTGCAGGCCGAAGTGCAATGGCATAATCTTGGTTCACTGCAACCTCTACCTCCAAGATTGTAGTGATTCTTGTGCCTTAGCCTCCTGAGTTATGGGGATTATAGGCATGTGCCACCTTACTCCGCTGATTTTTGTATTTTTAATAGAGACAGGATTTTGCCATGTTGGCCAGGCTGGTCTCTAATTCCAGGCTTCAAGTGATCCTCCCACCCCAGCCTCCCAAAGTGTTGGGATAACAGGAGTGAGCCACCTCACCCAGCCCAGTTGCCTGATTTTAATTTTTCTTCAACACTTGTATTTGTTTACAATTGCACCAGCAGTATATGAATGATCCCATTGTTGCACATGCTTCCTAGTGTACGATATTGTCAGACTTGGATTTTTATCAATTATTGAATGTATAATAATAATTTGGTGTGGTTTTAATTTGTATTTCCTTATTGTTTTTCTTTTCTTTTCTTTTTTTTTTTTTTAAAACAGAGTCTCACTCTGTCACCCAGGCTGGAGTTGAGTGGTGCGATCTTGGCTCACTGAAACCTCTGCCTCCTGGGTTCAAGCAGTCCTCCTGCCTCAGCCTGGAATTACAAGCATGTGCCACCATGCCCGGCTACATTTTATATTTTTAGTAGAGATGGGGTTTCACCATGTTGGCCAGGCTGGCCTTGAACTTCTCAAGTGATCCACCTGTCTCA